TTAATGTATTGTTAAGTTGCTCAGCATACAATAAGGACGGAGAAGAGAGTTGTTAATTGTAGTCTGCTCCTGTGTGAAGCCAGTTTCAGGAAGATTTTGTATCTAAAAGTGTCTTGGCAGGACCCCCCTCTCCCACACTGGTATTCGGTATATGTGGGAGGAGTTCCCACCCATTTCCTCAGCTCTTCTTTGACCACTTTCTGTGCTGCTTTGGGAAGCTTCTTTCAGCCTGTACCCTTCATCAGGACACAGATGGATTCCACCTCAGCAGCCCCATGTCTCCCATTGGCAAGCCCATAAGTACTTATTGAGATTCTCACAAGCTATACAGACAATCCCTCCTCCTTACACCCCAGATCCAGTGGTGCTTTGGCCTTAGGGTGTCAACAGTTACAATTGTACCACTTGCCAGACTTTAGAAGTTTTCACTAACTTCCAGTTCATCTATATTTACCATCTTATAGATGGTTCTCAGTAAGTGCATTTCAGATGCCCAGACCTGTCCAATTTAGTCTTAACTGGTGAGTAAGCCACTCCAGCTTAACCATTTTGGATCTAGAATTGTTGTGTTGACAGAAACTTCATATTCGCAGGACAAGCAGCACTTTAATCAACACACCAAGCAAGAGAGATCTCCATAGCCACTAATGGCAATTGACCACCCCACCATGGAAGAAGATCTTCTAACTCCTGTTGGCCTGTTGGCCAGTCAAGACAATACTATTTGCAACATGCTTCTCTTTTAATTGGATGGGGGACTTGTTTTTACCTTTCCTCCTTTCCCCGAAGATATGAACAACGGTGGGTCAAGAGGCTATGAACTGCATCCTGATAGCAACTTAGTGGCCCAGCTAATCCTGTTGCCACCTGTTGAACATTTCTAGCTGAACCTTCATCCATCCTCCCTCAAAACTGGATCTAATCTGGATACGGCTTGAATCCTTCTAGCAGAAGCCCTAGGCTGCAAAATAGAAGGATTTTTTCTCTCATGGATCATCATTTTTTTCTCCTCACGCTCCCTAAATAAGCAGCTCTTATGAGGGCTAAAGAATATTGATGTAGCAACTCATCCTTTAACACCTACCTAGAGTTTCTCCATTGTCCTACAAGGCCTTACAAGAAAACTGCTTGAACCCATGGTAACACGGGTTACCTTTTGCCTTTGTCTACTACCCTAGAAGGTCTGGATCTGAACTGTTCTGTCACTTCCAAAGACTTTTTATCTGTTACAGTGACAAGCCCAAGGCATACCCTGACACCTCAGAGACTAGTATGCATGGAGAGGATAATTTTTGTGGGTTATGACCTACCTGGCCTACAGCCTTCAATACAATAAAAGGCACACTATTTGCAAGCAGTGGTGACATGAACTTCACTGCACACCAGGATTTCTCTACTGGACTTCTTCAAGCAGCAGCCTGGTCAATTCTATCAACATTCATGAAACATTACAGACTCAGCATCCATACCAAGGCACATGGTGCGCTTGGGAGAGTAGTCTTTTTTTCTGTTCCAGTAATGACACTGAGCCACCATCCAGTGATGCCTAAGCTTGCCAGTTGTCCATATGCGTGATGCACAGAGACCATGAAGAAGAAAGCCAGGTTGCTTACCTGTAACTGTCATTCTTCAAGTGGTCATCTGTATATTCACAGCCCTCTCTGGTGCCATATTCTAAACTTTCCTTCTCCTTACATAGGTGAGGGGATTAGGAATTTTCCCATTTTCTGTACCTAGATTTAGTTTGACTAAGGTTGCACTTGGTCAAGATGAACCTCGCTGGGTCCAAGGTCACAAAAGTGGCCTTGAGTAAACTGAGGGAAGGGGTACAAGCTGTGCCCATGTATACCAAACACTGGGATGGGGGAGGGTATCCTGCCAAAATGCTCCCAGCTATGAACTCTTCGCAACAACAGGCTCCATACAGGCACAGGACAGTTTCAGGTAAGCAACCTGCCTTTATTTGCCCAGCCTGATTACTTCTTAATTGCATACATATTTATTTAGAATATTTATACACAAGAAATAAATCAAACTTTTTGCCAGGGTATCCCTCTCTGATAAGGGCACTAAAGAGCTAGAGTGCTTCAAAGTAGGAGTTACCCATATCAGGGTTGTTACCAGTCATTGGCAGTAGTGTGTGGGTGTGGGCGTGTGTGTGGAGGGCAACACGAGTGGCCTCTACCCAGGCAAGTTAATGCGTGTATCAAATTACTTTGGCACAGGCGTATCTGTGAGCTATACAGTAATGTTAGATCCCAGTGCTGACGTTCATTCACCAAAATCAACAGACAATTATGTAGTTTTCTTATGCAAGTAGTTATTTGTCAATTTAAATGTGACTGATAACTAGTAAGTACAGTTAATAGGAGAAAGACTGTGTTCCATGGTGGATAAACAGCCCCTGTGAGTTTCTGGGGTTCTTGCAAATAATGTTAGACTAGATGGATCCTTGTATTCCTAAGCAAGATTTAACACAGAAGAGTTCTGTCTTCACCATTAAAAGTTTTGGATCATACAGACTTACATTGTAAACTGCACAAGACTTGATTCAGCCCATCCCTTAAATACACCACAAATACACCAACTGATGCTGTAAAATTAGACTCTCAGAGAACAGTTTAATGATTGTAAAGCCTGGTTTTCAGAAATCATTAAAAATACTTATCTTGTAATGCATTGATCAGTATCAAGAGAGATCACATCTTCCATGCATGTGTGCATGTGCACAGTCTCAAATGGCTGTGTCATAAGCTTCTTAGTTAGGGAGAGAAAACATGTAACCCCCCAGCTGTTGTTGTCCTGCAACTCCCATCATTCCTCACCATCAGTTATGCTGCTAGGGCTGAAGGGAATTGCAACCTCTGAAGGGCCATGCATTCTGCACTTCTGTTCAAGATGATGCATACAGGCAAAAAGTTGGATACTGTTAAATGCATCTAGCCATTTGGGATACTTTATGTAATCTTTATCTTGCCTTTCCTCCCAGAAATAAACAACTGTGCACTCAAGAATCCTGACCACTATTCCACAATCCACAGTCAGGCACTGTTTTTAATAGGTTCAAGCAAAATGCCATGAAAGCTTTTCAAGCCCTCCATAGCTCTTCATCAGGATGGATATGAAACAGAGTCGAATGCTATAGTTGTGTTTAATTGGAAATAATGCTCACAGATTTGAAGGTAAGTGTGCACATAGGACTGTACCCTTACAAACCTGTTCAGTTGCAGGATGGCACTTGCAAGGAGTTAGGTGGTTGCAAGCCAGCAGCATTTTGATAGCACAGTCAAAATTTCATCCTGGCCAGAAGGGCTAGGATGTAAAGTCAGATGGGCAGAGCATGTCTGTTTGCCGTGTTTCTAGTAAGCAATGTATTTGTGGGGAGGGAAGATGGTGTAGGGAGGAAATAAACAAAAGCTGCTTTGTCGTAGAGGGAGAAGAATCTGCGCAAGATCATAGGCACGTTGCCCTTAGGAGCTACTTAGAGACATTATTCCATGCTTGAAAACACGGCTCTGAAAACGCTTAGAGGAACTGGGGCTGCTCAAGCGTGCTCTTCTAAAGAGACACAGTAAGAAATCTGGTGGGCTATGCAGTCTGCTCAGATGGGTTTCCACTTAGGTACGGAGTTGTGCGGGTGGGGTGGAAAAGAGATACCTGCCTCTTCGCTGGGGATTTCCGATGCTCTTGGTTACGTATCTTCGGCATCACCTTGGAAGCATGAGCAGCGGGCACGCAAGGCTGTGCCTTCTGCTCGTATGTTAGTACAGAACTATTGCTCAGGGATAATGATGTGTTTTATTGCTCAGTAATCTAAAGCGGGTTATCGCTTAGAGAACATTTCCGCCCCCGTGCGCAGTGATAACATCCCAGCGATGCCCCACCCATTTGCTGAAAATGAGCTGATGACGCCTTATGCTACAGCAGTTAAGGTTACTGCAAATCCTGTGGGCGCCTATGCGAAAGTAAATTCCATTGAATTCTGTGGGACTTACGAGTTAACGAAAAGTGGATCGGACTGTACAAGTGTATGGCATTATTGCGCCGGAAGTTACGCCCCCCCCCCCCCCAGCCTGGCTTCATCCTTCCTACTTTATTGGATTACAACTTCGTACCTAGCTAACATGGGAATGGTGGGAGCTGTAGGTTGAACACAACAGGAGACAAAACGCCCCTCTACGAGTTTCGACAAAACATAGCCACGGAGAGCAGAAGAGGATGCTGGGCAGCGTCATTCTCCCTCAATATGGCGTCGTAACTGAAGCTGTGAATGGAATCTACCAATGGGGAGGACACACTACATTTCCCAGCATGCAAAGCGTGCCAGAGACGTGACAATATGGCGACGTTCCTCGAATGAATAACCGAAGAACCTCCCCCGTTTCCTACCGCAGATGGTCTATATCCAATTACTATAGCCCTAGGCTGGGACTAAAGTTTTTTTTTTGTTTTTTTTTAAAGGGGTGAAGTATGCTTCCGAAATCCCGCGCGGTAGCGAGCCCTCACGCTCAAATGAAAATGTACGAAGGCCTTACAGTGAACTCGCGGGCTTTGGTGGAACTCTTAAGAGGTGTGAAGAATGTTTGCAGGGAGCCTCCGATTTCTGCCCCTCCTATGAGGCGAGAGACAAGAGCGTATAAAAGTATGGCGAAGCTCTCAGTTCATCGGGAATTGCAGTCAAAAGTTACCTTTTCCTCTGTTTATGTCTGCTTTGGGGTGGCGGGGGGGGGAATCTTTTATTCTATGGAACTACAAGTCCCATAACGCTATGCAGCGCCAGGAAAGCGCGCAGAAATCATGATAACATGGTGGGCTTTCCCGATCTGCTGGGAGTTGTAGTCCCACTATCTCCTACGATCTTCTGACTAATAAGAGATTAGGTAGACGTGAAACTACATTTCCCGATGGGCTATAGTTTTAGTTGAGAGAAAGGAGGAGGAGAGGAGGCAGGAGGAGGAGGAGGAGGAGGAGAAGAAAGCTACAACATGGCGGCTGCATCCATTCCCCAGAAGTGGGAGCTGTGAGAAGCGTAGCCCCAGGAGCTGGAGCAGCTTTGACTGTGCCGAGTCCTGGTCTCGGGGTGCTAGCCCCTTAGCCATCCCCGTTTGCCCTAGCGGGAGTGGGGCCTGCACCCTTCAACTGTGCCAAGCCATGGGGGTGCAGGGCTTCCAAGAGTTCGTAGAAAAGCGCTGCCCAGGGGCAGTGGTGCCTGTGGACCTGTTGAAGTTGGCACGGGCCGTAGGGGGCCGTGGAGGCGGGGGCCCTGCCTACTGTACAACCTTCCACCCCCCAGCTGGCTATCCCCACCCAGCTGGGGCTGCACAGGGGCTGGGACCTATGGTTGGTACAAGCCCATACCCACACACTCAGCATGCACCGGGATTGGCGCCCCCAGCACCCTGTCCAGCTCGGCTCCTGGTGGATGCTGATTCTGCTTTGCAGCGTCTGTACGGTGGCTACCAGACAGACTGGGTGTGTGGGGGCCAGTGGAATGCTATGGTGGGTTATCTGGCTGCCCTTTCACAGGCCTGCCTCTATCAAGGTGGGCTGGAATTAGCTGTCATCTTCAATGGAGGGCTTGGAAAGGAGAGGCTCCCTGAGTGGGGCAGGAAGGCTCAGGCTGAGAGGCAGACAGCTCAGCTAATTGCTGGGCATGTGGGCAACAAAGGTACCCCACCACCACGGGCCTGGTTTCTTCCTCCGGCTTGCTTGGGGCACTGTGTCCGTCTGGCCATGATTCGGTTCCGGGTCAAGGTAAGGTCTATATGACCCCTGTTGAATGCACCCTCTTGCATCCTGTTGAGTTCTGTGTCATTTTGAATATCTCAGTATTGGTTCTTCTGTTCTTGCACCCTTACTTTCCCTCACCCCATCCCGATTCCATTTCAGAGTGCATTTTAATTGTATTTTGGGTTACTTTTTATTTCTTTCCAAAGGTTCATCCCTTCTCAGTATTCCTGGACACTTGTTGCCCTCCCTGATACACTCCTGAACATTCTGCTATGGTTAAGCTTCTATTCCCATAAATTCCTCAAAAGTTGTTTCTTCACCTTATCTGCTACCAATGCTTCCTTTTGCTTACCCTCTTTTTCAACCTATGTCCAGCCCTCATGCTTTCTTGAGCCTTTTTATTAGTCTTTTTCAAGGATTGATCAGCAAGTTTTTCACATCTGACATGAACAATTTGAGAAAACCAGAGCTGCAAAATAATTGCAGCCATGGCCACAGATAACTGCAACTTGCTTATCTTCACAGGTCATAAAACTATAGTACAAGTCCTATCATATATGTCTGACAGGTATGAATTTAATTGCTTAGGTGCTATCTCCTGTGTAGAAACTGACTTGGTTATTGGCTTTTGTAAGGATAATCTGTGGATAATCAGTGTGCCTGGTTGCAGATGGGAAGACTGGATTTCATCTAATTTTCCCCAAATAGCTGCATGTAGTCTCATGAAGCCAAAGGTAAATTGGCAAACAAAGGCTTGAAGATCAGCTGAGGTTGAATAAGCAGTGAAAGCAGCTGACCTGAAGCAGAGGAGCTTCAAATGCAGCCTCCTTAGTGAATGAACAACTGCATCATGTTGCATCTGTACACAAATTTATCAAACACCATTTTGACCCAGTACCAGGCATGATGTAGCCCAGTGAGACACTTCTAAAGCCCTGTTGACTTCCACAGGAGAGTTTAATATGTGCTTTGGTTTCTCCATTTCAAACCAGTAGGACATAAATGTGCTTAACTTCTGGATTATGCTAATAATAAATTGGTGAGGAAAAGGGGAAGTGTTTGAGCCCAACTAAGTTCTTGTATCACTGTGGTCAGTCAAGTCAACATCCTTGTACAATTTTCTCTGCTATGGTCAGGACACATCCCTAAAGAAGGTTATGGCTTGTGTTTCTGAACATCAAAGCTGGTCGTATACCTTGTGGCCAGCCAGTTTTGAAAAGCAGGTGGCTGTTAAAACTATGTTATGATAGGACATGGGTGCCTGCTGATCAAAGGGCATGAAATTAAATCCAAATCAGTGAAAGTTTTCACTTTCCCCTTGCATATGTTAAATTTCATTGTAGCTATGTCTGTTTTGCTAAGAGGTTTGGAATTTTGCCTTAATGTCATTTCAGATTCTGCAGTTGAGTATGTATGATTGGAATATAGCAATGTGTATTATTTTGCTCTGTTTGTACACTACATGTTCCCTCCCCATTCTCCAAAGAATTTGAAACTATTCTGTTCTTATTGTGTGTTTTGGGGAGATGGGAAAGAGTTGAGCTCCTAAAACCATTGGAAGCAGTAAGTGTTTGGATGCAAAATAATAGTGACTAGAGGCTCATGCACAGTATCACTTTCTGCTAGATTTCTCACAGAGGGCCTGCATTTTGCAGAAATGGTTCCTCCTGTTTTAAGATTGTCTTCTGACATGAATGGCATATAGATTTTATTGTTTTGAAGCACAGCATATCTGAACTGAAGCAGAGGTCATGTTCTTTGTCTGCCATGATTTTTGCTCTGTAGACTTCAAAAGCCTTGAACATTTACTCTTAATTTTCACCTTAGGATTTTCTTTATGAAAGTTATTTCATTCCTATACTGCCCAATAGCTAAGGCCCTCTGGGTGCTTAACAAATGTTTTTGTTTGTTTTTATATCCTGCTGTTTTTTTTTGCCTGTGAATGTATTTGGCTATGGCTGACCTTCCATCCAAATTTAAGTGTGAGAATCTCAGATTCCTGTCCCACTGCAAGTGAGGGGAGAATGTTGTCATTCTAAATACTGGAGGCATTAAGATGAATAGTTTTACCCCACTTTTCTAACGTTAAAAAACAAAGAAGTTTATAGACATTAAATAAAACAATGATAATGTTAAAAACTAGTAATACAATGCAAAGCCTAAAATAGGTAAGTAGCATGGTGCTAGTGGGGTACCAATGCATGCTCAGACACCTTCCTTGGCACATATTGCAGGAATCCACTCTTGTCCCTTACTTAAACATAAAATATATACCAATATTTTGGTTCTCTTTTTGCTGTGACCTGCTGTGATTCTCAGATGCTCCAGTACTCACACTCCCCTTAAAATGGTCACTTGTCTGTTTGAGTGGTTAGATAGGCAGAAAACCTAAGACAAAAGAAGAATACAGTAAGGTCCCCACTGAAGTAAAATGATCAAAAGAAATTACCAAACTTGTTCTGTTATGTTCTGTTGATCTGCTGAAAGAATGAATGCAAGAAATACGGAAGGATAGATTATCAGAATACTTGTCTAAGGTATTTGAGAAATAGGAGCAACAGAGGCACATTTGCATTTTTGATCCAATGAAGTCAAACTCCCAAAATTATTGATGGGGGAGAACAGTAGGAAAGAAGCTAACTGCCCGAATGAATTGCTCTGTACAGATGTGTTTAGATACTAGAACAAATAATGATTGATGGGGACATCTGCAATGAATTGTCCAGTCCCTTGGAAATACAAAAAAGAGCTATCTCTATGGAAGTGAATGAGTTTAGATGACATGCTGAGCCTTGTCCTGATTTATGTAAGGTTACATGTGCAACACCTATTTAAGCTTTGTTGTGTTGCATGAATCCAGTGCAGATAGGTTATAGGATGGTTGTTCATCTCATGTTCACTTAGCTTCTATGGTATGACAACCCCCAAGTAAGAGTTGCATATTCAAAACTGTGTCTGCACGCACTGTGTTCTCACTGTAGATTCAGTAATGCATGGTGGGCTGCCGTGCCAGCAAGCATCCCCAGTGAGTCATCCTCACATCTTGTGGAAATTAGTTCACCAGTGGAATGATCCATTCTTTCCCTAGCAGCTTCCAATGCTCCATCTTCAGGAGGTTATTTCAGCCTTAAAGAGTCAGGGTATTCTGAGCCTTTGAGGTACGCATTTACCTAAAAGGGCCAAAGGTTTGTACAGTCCCACCGTATGTCATTACCAAGAGGGTGAGAACAGATACATAAAAGAAGCTTGATTTGCAGAAATTCTTAAAGATATAATCATTTTCTTACTAGGGTTGAGGAGAATAAAACCCTGAATATCACAGCAGTAGAATCCAGTTATTTTAATGGTAAATAGTTGCATATGGTTGGGTCTGAGCTTTGTCAGACAGGTCAAAATTGGCCCTTATTTTTTTTATTGAAATCTTCATTTGTAATATCCTTATCTAAAAAAATATATAAACAATCAAGTTGTTCTTGCTTTGCCATTAATTACCTTTGGATTTTAGGAATCTGTCTTTTCCCTTTTTAATTTCCTAAGGCATAATCCTATGCATGTTTACATAGAAATAGTGCCCTTCAGCTTCCAGCATTTCATTATCAGAATGTTTTAATGGGTTTTAATAATGGAATGTTTAACTTCTATGTCCCCCTTTATTACTTTTGTTGTTTTGCTTTTATATGAAATCACATATTTTTATTATGAATGTTTCAAATATATTGTTAATTGTTTTGTTTTATTTGTTGCTGTATAATATATTGTGAGCTAGCCAGAGAGCCTCAAGGCAAAGGGGTGCAGTATACAAGTCCAATAAACAAACAAACAAACACAAATTCCCAGCCAGCTATGCTTCCATGATTCCTTATTTGTATGCAACAGCAAGCTAAGAATTAGAGGAATTGTGGAGAAGCACACATGGTCAGAATGTGTGCTTCTCTAGGCTTGCAGAGGCTTCCTCACATGCTAAATTCAGGCTTAACGTGTGTAAACCAGGCTGCATGAACCATGGTCAACTTTAACCAGAGTTTGCAAAGCAGCATGTGACTGAAATGCTTCCATGACCACTTGCTATGTTGCTTTGATACCATTCACACCTTTTGTTTTCTGAGTGGTGTGCACATTTCCCTTATGTAGGTAGCAGGAATTGATATATATGAATGAATTACTCCCAGATGATCGTATGACTTTAAAGCAAAGTGCCCTGTTACTGTTATTTAACATTTGTGTACTGCCTTATCTGCAAAAACAGCCGACAAAGTAGTGTACAAAAATTTACAAACCATAAACACTTAAAACAATAAAACAAGAACAATGAACACAGAAGGGAAATTAAAGTTACATATTTTGAGAAGCTAAAGATACTCATCCTTGTCCCTATTTTCCTTTTAGGTTTTCCAAAGCTTGGAAGATCATCATCAGGAAGTGGTGTCCTTCTTCCGTGAGAATGGCTTCCATGGGCTAATTGCTCATGACTCAGAGTATGCCCTCTGGAACATCCCCTCCTATTACAGCTCCCATGCCCTCAAGCTAAGCTGGAATGGCAAAAACCTCACCACCAACCAGTTCCTCATGCAAGAGGTAGCCAAACAGCTAGGCCTCAAGCTGAGCAGCTTTCCCATCTTTGCTGCCTTGCTAGGTAAATAGAAAGTGTGTGCATTCATGTGCTAGCGTGGCCTGGTTCACATGATGTAACAGGCTTTTGTGGCTCAGTTCATCCACAGGGGCTGTTGTATTGCTCTGGGAGCCAGTGGGTGCCATTTTTGCTCGTCTGCTACAAACCAGGCAGCAGGAGTTGTTTTGAGAGTTATACAACCCTCAACTCCTTCCACCTGGGCTCACATGGCAGAACAACCCACGGCAAGGCAGGTGCCAGGCAAAAAATGGTGTCTGCAGGTACCTGACACAACACCATAGCTCCAAAGGGTAAATTTCCCCATAGTAGACTGTTTGTCTTGTATGAAGTAGATTAAGTAATTAGTGAATGACTAGGGCAGAAGTGCTTAAATTTATTTAGGCTTGAAATATTTTGCAATGGATGATTGTTTTGTTGTTGCTGTTTTGCAAATGTATGTTTATATGTAATCTTAGAAGGGTTGTCTAGGGATTACTTCTGAATCCTGTCTCTCTTCTGGTCATATGCTGTATTTAGTACCATCATCTGTGGCTTTTTAAAAGTTGCTTAATTCTGGTTCAAGTATAAAAATGCCTAGGCAACCATAAGCAAAACATGCATACTTGTGCTCTCATTTTTGACTCAAGCTACACCACAGGGCTGTTGTGAGGGTTAATGTGGAGAGTGAAAGAAATAAAGTTGGCAAGAGTAGGCCGCAGTACATATATTGCTGACTAGCATAACTTTCAGTGCTTTGTCTTTAAAATGAGCAATACAAGCACTCAAAATCATCACTTCTGATATTTCTTCTCACCTAGCCCTTTCTTTGTTGAGCTGCAATATTGCCAGGTGATCTTTACCAATGCCAAAGTCTAGACACTGCTTAATGATGGAATATCAGTTTTTCTCTAAGTGACACAGGGAGGATTCTAGATTCAGGGTTTTTTTTTTAAAGAAAATGAAATTAAATGAATTTTCATGGAGAATAATATGTCACTTTTTGTTTTCATTGTTTCTCCATGCTTTATTTGCATTAATGTGTATGAAAGGGCAAAATTTCCTTCCCATTTCTTACTTGGTACCTGGTAAAAAGTAAGGTTGTGAGTTTCCACAGTGCCAATGGTGGCTTCATTTGTGAGATTCTGAGAGGAGAACTCCATCCAGTGGTCTCATGCAAATATTTGCATCTCCTGCAAAGTCTGAATGCTGGCTACATGGAATCACATGTGTCGAATCCTTTCCAACCCCATAATTACCTCTTCTGTGCATGTTGCTGTTCAGAATATTTGGGCTTACTGAGTGTCAGGTCTGGCAGAAAGAAAAAGAGAGAGGGTCAGAATGTCTTCAGAGAATGAAGGAATCCTTTTCTGATGCACATTGTAGAAAGGGATTGCAGAGGCCTTACAGAAGCTGTGACTGAGTCTGATTGTCTACTACCTATGTACTCTGACTGGCAGGAGCTGTCCAGGGAAGATTCTTTAAGCTGCCATCCTTGGCTGTTTTCATCCTTAATTCAAATTAAGTAGCTCTATGAAAGTCTGCTTCATTTCAGTGCTTGAATTGATTTTCTCTTTGCCAGATTGTAGGCTTGTGAAGGTCATGGTGTAGTGCACAACTCTCGGAAAGCATCTCTATCATCTTGCTATATCCTGTTTGTCTAAATGTTGATCCAAATGTTAATCTAGCAGGTGCCTTCTGGTGAAGCAGTTGCTGTGTGCCTGTGTCTTGCCCACCTGAATGGTGGAGAAAGACACTGGCACATGGGGAGAGAGGGTGGGAATCTCACTGTTGTTTTTTGGCAATTGCGGTATGACCTTGCACAATCCCCTGTGCCCTTCCAGGGAACCACATCCTTCCAGATGAAGATCTTGCTGCCTTCCATTGGAGCTTGCTTGGACCAGACCACCCATTGGCTTCACTTAAGGTACCACTCACATCTCTTGTCCCATCTGAAGGGCCTCAAGGAAGCAAGCCCTGACAGAGCAGGGAGGCAGGGATGTTACCATTTGGAAGAGGAGAAGAGTCTTGAGGAAATGAGATTGTGTTTTGGATGTTTTTGTTTCCTACTCATGGAAGGAACTTTCCAAGGAGAAGTGGGGAGTGAGAAGAGACAGGACTCCTGAACCCTGTCATTAGCTTTTAGCAGGAAGTGGACTTTGAGAAGTGGAAACAATGCCAAAACGTAACACTCCATGTTCTCAGATCAGAAAAGAACCAGAGTTTGGTTCACAACCAGAAACTGGAATTTCAGGAACCTTTTTCTAGCTTTGGAAGAAATGTTGAAATAAAATGGAGATGGACTAGGTCTAGGAAGCTGTACCTGGGTATTCTGTTTTACAGTGAACATTTCAAATTGTCACACCCATGCTCCTGGATGCTCCTGAATGTTCAACTCTCAACAGTGGATTGTTGTAGTGTGGGAACAGGGCTGATGAAAATTATGCAAGGATTAAATAACTCATGGATTGTTTTAACTTGCACAGGCTATGAATTTAACCCTCATATTGGTTAATTGGCCATTGTTTAGTACTCACATAACTCCTGCCATAAAACTTGCCTAGCACAACTCATAGCCAAGGGTTGAATTTTTAGGATTTTGCCCATGGGCGCTGCAACTTGTCATAGCTCAAATACCTGTATTTGATAAACATATGAGGATGAGCCACAGTGTGGCATGTGAACCCCGAGGCACTGGTGGGAGACTGGAATGGGAGAGGGTGAACTTTTCTCCTTCCCTCCTTTTCCTTTTGTACTACTGCCATAGCTTTGTAGGGCTGGAGAGCTTCTAGAGGAATGACATGGTCAGAGAAGAAAACATAATGCAGCTCTGGCAGGGTTACTAGATTCACTCCTGTTCTCTGCTTGTGTCATGGTCTATAATGGCCACTGTGCCATTATAATTTAGGAAGCCAGTTCATGCTTTATGCTACAGTCAGCTGTATTTCCAACTGTATTTGATTAGTGTTGCAATTTTTACAAGATATACATATATTCCATCTACTATCTGTATTCTTCCTTCTGGCACCCCACTGAAAATTCAGAGGAAAGAAATATATACAGCAGAGATGGGCCACTTTAGGGCTGTTCTTCTGCTGCCTCTGCATTGGCAAAAACAGGCAGTGGTTTGCTGCCAAGCTTCAGCAGTTAACCATGATAGACAGGAAAGGGGAGGGGGCAGTTGGTTTCTAAGCTTGTTGCTCACCACAGTACAGAAGGAATTGGTATCTGTGGTTATAGGCCACCCTGTTGATCTTCTGCATGGTTGATGGCCAGAGGAGTGTCCCTTCCCCTCTACAGAATAGCTCCCTGGTCAAAGTTGTTGACTAGGACTGTAGAGTGTGGAGCTGTGCCATACTGTACTTTTTCCTCACCAGAGTTTTTTTTGGTAAAGTGCTTTGTGTTCTGGTTTCAGGTGCGAGCCCACCAGCTGGTCTTACCACCCTGTGATGTAGTCATCAAAGCTGTGTCTGAGTATGTGAGTTCCATCAAAAACCCCTCCAACTTGGATGTGATAGGGAGAGATGTCTTCAAGCATTCCCAGGTGAGATGTGCGAATTACGTGGTGGTGGTGGTAGGCCCAGAATATTAGACTGTGGAATAAAGCAATCCACAGACTCCTTTGGGAGTACTGCAGAGAGTGGGGGAATAAAGCGACCCACAAATTGGCAAGGGTGAATGATTTCAGTTAAGGGGTTCCACTGTCAGTTAAAGTTGACCAGCTTCTAGCTTGTGTTGATCTCTGTGCCTGTCATAGTTTGGGAATAGAATTTGCAGTTCATAAAATGGAGTGTGCTACATTGAAAGTCATTGATGGTATAGGTTATGACAGATAGCTACATTCCTTTCTCCACTCAATCACTTCTTTTTCTTCTCTTTCCTCCCCAGTCCAGAACCGAAGATAAAATAGAACGGTTCAAGAAGGCTGTGGAATATTATTCAGTGGCAACAAAAGTATCCCCTACACCTCTGAGCCAGTCTCCGTATGTTCGTGAGTATCCAGGAAATACCGATTCACTTCACCCCTCTCTCAAATGAGTTTCTCCCACTGTCCAAGAAGGTGAGGCCTTGCCTGACATCCCACAGTTGCCTCTGCTGGGTGAGGTCAAGTCTGGACTAGACCATCTGAGCCCAAACTAGATTATTGGTGTCTCTTAATAGCTATATTTCAGGAAGAAATTTGACATGGCTTCTCCAGCAGTGATGCTGTAGGACTATTTCTTCGATTCATAGTCTGTTAAAGGCACTGGAGCATCTTTCCAGGCCAGGAACTGGTACTCTTTTTGGCCCTTTCCACATTCAGCATTCTGCTCTCATAGTAAAACTATGTTAAATAGTCCATCCACATAGCCCACTAAAGCGTGTTTAAATTTACACCGCAAAAGCATTTAATCAGAAGTTCCTAATGGTTAAAGCATAGTTCATCTTGCTTAAGAAGCTGGGTGCCTTGATGCTTTGGAACTCATCTTTTGCAATAAGTCCCAGCAACCAGAGCAGGCTTCTCTAACCTGGTGCCCTCCAGTTTTGTCAGCCCTGACAAGCATGGCCAATGGTCAGAAATGCCCTGAGTTTGTTTATTTGTTTATTTCATGTCTATCCTACCCAGTAGCTGAGGTTCTCTGGGTGGTTAACAAAAATTAAACAGTTGAAGTACTAACACCTGCAGGGTATCAGGTTGGAGAAGGCTGAACAAGGCAGTAGCCTAGCAGTCTATCAGTGAACGGTAGTCTGCTCATCCCTGGCTGGGGGAACCAGTTTCTCTACCAACAGCCCCTCATTTCTTGCTAAAATACTTTATTACAGCTGGGAATGACCTTGCTGGCAGTACTCATGCCCCAGTTGCACCATTGAAACATATACCTGTTTTTCTTTTTTACAACACCATCTTTTCTTGGGAGACTTGGGTAAATTTCTGAAAACCACTGCACCAAGCCATTTTCCAAACTATGCTCCACAGAATCCTGGGCATCCAAGGATATTCATCTAAGGGATTGCAAGTGAGATGAGTGGTGATAGGGGCTTACACTTCATAAAGTCTCCAGTGCAGTTAGAGCACCCAGCAGGACTGTTAAGCCTTGCTGTCATTTTCTATAACCTGTAAAACTTAATAATGCATATGTATGCATCCACATGCAAGACAATACTCATTCACATTCACTTGCATATTACAGTGCACCCACTCTAATATTAAAGAAACTTCAGTTAAATATGTGGATGGGCAATTTATACTGCATTTCTTTGGTGGCATGCTGCCAGGGGCTGGAGTCTCCCCATGCCTCCCCCATACAGATCCCTGTCCACTCATATATATGCATGCCTAATCCCTGTTTTAACCCCTTCCTCTGCCACCAGAAAGAAAGAGGAGGAAAAAACAAATGCTCTGGGTTCCTGCCATAGAAGCTTCATACATAGAACATCCCCAGAGCATCCTAGAAAGCAAGCAGAAACCTCTAAGTAGTCCTCCTCAGAATGCTCTAGGAATGATGCTTCTGTGGCGCAGAAGCCAATTCATCTGTTTTTCTTCCCCACTTTTTTTTGGTAGCAGGAGATGCTGGGAATCTGGAAGGATGCCAAATGGGGCTTGTGAAGGGGAATGTATGTTTTTGCACCCTGTGATAAACTTAAAGATGCACCTTAGCACGTTCTGCAGAATCTCCTGCACTGCACAGTGGTTCTGTGGCAGAATACCCCAAGTATGAAGAGTTGTTCAAGGATACAAAATCTGGAAATTGCAAGTTTGGGAAACAGAGGAATGATTGTGCTTCAGACCACAAAAATATGACTCCCACATGCACCTGCTGTCTGAAGTGTTTCTCAACCACATCCTAGCTTAACCAGGCTATGCATTAATAGGTATTCCCATTTTGCCCTTTAATGGTCCCAGCAAGGGCATGCTGGGGTAAAAAACATTCCTGTTTGTAACAAGGTGACCATTCTGTGTTTCAGTCCCAGCTTTTGGGCCCAACCACTTTGGAGGGGCATCACCTATGAATCGCAATCCAATGGTACCGCTCCCTTCTGGGAAGGCCATGGTAAGTGCCCAGGCTTGCTTTAGGCACATGTTGATTTTGGACTGATATTCTGGCCATTCTTGTGTCAGTGACCATGTCTCATTGCTCACTGGGCTAGTCAGGGGACTGTGGCTTGTTGCAGGCTGGCAACAAGGAGCTGTTCGGTATGATACACAGATTGAGGTAACAGAAGTCTGGACTGTGCCATTTCAGACAGCAGGTGTGTTTGAGAGTAATATTTTGAATGCTTCCCCCTATGAAGAAAGTCCCCTGCATAAATCAGTCTAGCACATTTGGGAGAGGCTTACATTACATTAAACTATTCCTTCTCGCTTACAATGTACAAATATAAGAATATGTACAAAAACCTAACACCCCCTCCCTCCTACCAGTCTGAAGTGGTGCAATCTATAATTCTACCACATTAGCTTTCCTCATTCTGTGTAGCATGTCCCTCAGCAAAGAAAAGCCACATTCTATGTTTCCTGTAGCAGGATTAGTCATTTGTAGGTGCTTTTTGTACCATTTGGTTCTGTTGGGAAAGAGATGCAAAATTATATAGGAATGTCTCCTCCTATAGATCTGTGACATCACATAAAGCTTCGAGACAAACCCACGGCTCTGTGTGAGCCATGATAGCCACATGGGAATATGGCATGGGTGTGTGTTGTCATTGTGGGGGAGTCTGCCTTTAAAAGGAAAAAGAAAAACACATTTCTCTTGCAGCTGTTTGAGGTAAATTTGAAAAACTTTGATCTATTTGTGACTGAGAGTGAAAGGGCTGAACATGTCCTCCAGTGGGAAGAGATACAGGTTTTAGTGATCTGTATCTCTCTGCCCTTGTAGTAGTATATCAGACTATGTATATAATTCAGCCTTTCCTTGAACTGGATTACAGATCCTGCTAACGCTGTGGTGTCCACACTTCCTGGAAGCAGTCTCAGGCAGAAGTCTCCAACCAGCTACTCTCAGAACCTTTTTTGACCTGGGGAAGCCTGCTCTTAAGTGGTGCCCTGCCTGAGCAGTGTTCCTGGCTACAAACCATTGAACTTATTTTTTTCCACTTGTTTTTGCTTCCATCTGCAGTTCACACCCCAGATGGGGCCAAAGATGCAGTACCAGCCTTCTGCCCCACACAGTGCGGTTGCTGCCACCTCTTCTTTCCTTTCTGGTCCCAGCTCCAGCTTCCTCTTCCCTCCACATGGCCTGGCAGATGCAGCCCCTTTCCATGAGGACCCTGCCTTGAAGGGTGGACACTTCAACAGCTGGCCTATCTCTTACGACAGCTGTCCCACCAAATTCCCCAACCACCACCTGAGTTCCAAGCCTTCCCCATCGTCTGGGCCTGGGTCTTCACCCTCTTCTTCCTCTGATGGGGAAGAGCACAATGGAACCAGTTCCAAGTGAGTATGTTGTGGGGTGGGGGGCTTCTGAGGCCTGTGCAAAGTGAACTCTAGGATGAAAGCAGCATGTGGGGAGGCCGGGTCCCTGAGCTGCCCATCCCTACTCCTGGGAATTGGGAGAAGTCCCGTAGGTTGTACCAGTCAGAGGACAGAAGAGCCAGGAGCCCTAGGTTCAGTTCCCTGTTTGAGGTGGGGGAGGTTAGATGGAGAAGGGTCCTAGCTTTACTGCTTGACCTGGGATGTGGAACTACTAGCATTTCCCTTTCCTCTTGTTCCTCCAGCCACGTGTCCGAAACAGTGCCTCGCAAGTCTGGCTGGGAGGATGAAAAGATGATGAGCCAGGGCTGGGGGCAGCCGGCTGGGGGCTCTGGCAACTCTGAGAGGAACCTGAGTGGGCCTGAGGCCCACATCCCCTCGCTGCTCTCCATGGCGACCCGCAACCACATGGACATCACCACCCCACCCCTGCCCCCAGTTGCCCCCGAGGTGCTTCGTGTGGCCGAGCACAGGCACCGCCGGGGGCTTATGTACCCTTTCATCTACCATGTTCTTACCAAGGTGAGAAAGGGGACAAGGAACCATTTGAGTTCTGTTAGCTGGCTCTTTGTGGGGAATCTAGGTGGCTTGGAGGGCAGCAAGGGGCTGAAAACCAGCCCTCCAGGATTCTCATTGCCTAACCCTCCTTTCCAGGGTGAAATCAAGATCCCTGTGTGCATTGAGGATGAGTGCAATACTGAGCTGCCCCCGGCAGCAGTCCTTTTCCGGGCTGCACGGCAGTATGTCTATGGTGTCCTCTTCAGTGTGGCTGAGACCCAGCGGAGGATGGAGCGCCTGGCTGTGCGGAAGCGCATTCCCGTGGAAAGTAAGAGCTCTCTTTCGGCCTCATCAAGTGCTTGCTTGTGCCCCTTCCAGCGCTGTAGTTCTCAAGCAGTGGGAGGCAGGCTTGCAAGGGATGACCTGGCAGATTGCTTGGAAATGGAGTTTCACTGTCAACAAGGGCCTTTCTGTTCCCCTGCCTGGTCAGTATTTGTTTGGCTAGGCCAGGTGCTCCTCTGCCTGCCTCTTCAACTCATTCAGTGTAAGTGGTTCTGTGGGCAGAGTGTTGTTCCCACCCCCATGAAGGAACCACACATTCACTTGCAGCCTCTGTTTCCATTTTTGCCTTCTTGAGCCCTGTGATCATCCTCCCATTTTCCTTTGACTTGCATCCCTCGGGAAGAGTCTGAAGCCCAGGTCAGTATTTCTTGACCTTGCCTGCAATGTCGTAGGCAGGCCTCTGCTGTTGCAGATCTGTGACTGGGCCATGTGGATGTTCTGAGCATTGCCAAGCTGCTTAGAAGAGTTAGAGGAACTGCAATGGGCTGTAATACAGACTCCAGTACTGCGGTTTCATTCTTTGAGCTTGACTTGTGATGGTGCACATTTACTGCAGCAGTTGGCAATCTCTGATATAGACCACCCTGGGTGCACATTATCTAACTGAAATAAATCCAGTATATCTCAACTGTAAACTTAGAGAAGGAGGTTATCCTTCTCAAATGGGCCCTTGTCCTTTTCGGTGCAGCCCACCCAGTTATCATCAAGGAATGGTCAGCGTACAAGGGAAAATCCCCCCAGACTCCAGAGCTGGTCTCAGCCTTTGCCTTTCGGGAGTGGACATGCCCCAACCTCAAGAAACTCTGGCTGGGAAAAGCAGTGGAAGACAAGAACCGACGCATGAGAGCCTTCCTGGCCTGTATGAAATCAGACACACCCAGCATGCTCAACCCAGCCAATGTCCCCACGCACCTGCTGCTGATGTGCTGTGTACTACGGTGAGTGAGCTGAGTGGTCTGAGGGCAAAGAGGAGAGGGGGTGAAGAAGAGGTTGTCAGTGTGGGGAGGGCATCTTAGCCAAGAGGCTTGGATGGCATCCCCATGGCTCAGATGGCAGAGAGGAAGCATGTGACCTTGATGGTGAAGCATGTCAATACGAATTTCTAATGGCCAATGCTGAAGATCCCAGGGGGCAGTTTGTAAGGTGCAGAAGGCTTGGTGCAAATGTAACACAATAAATGTGAGGGGAATGGTCCTTTCTGGAGGCTGGAGTTCTTTTTTTTGTCAATATTTTTGTTTCTAGGTCTCATCGTTCTTCATTACATGAAGGTACTTGCTGGGGTAGTTTTTTTCTGATACTAAATATGGTGATTGCTAAGATCCTGAGATGCAAATGCAAAACAGCTGTTCTGCAAGTTAAGGGAGCATGGCTGTGGAAGAAAGCAAAGTGCCAGTTGGATTGTTCCCTAGCAGAAGGTTCAAAAATAGTATACAGACCAAGAATAAATTTTCATGTTTGTCCATTTTGAGATTCCAGGAAAATACAAGGTCTAGATGTCAACTAAAGAAAGAAAATACAAAATGCCTGTTAAAATGATGAAAGCCACCCCAGTTCATCACTGTATGAACATAGAAAGTGTTCTTTTGGATTTCTTTTTCTCTCCGCTGTGGTAGATTATTTTGTCTGAAATACTCTGTCCTTTCTTACAAAAAGATATATGATACAATGGCCTGGGGGCCGAATCCTGCACAGACATGAGTTGGATGCCTTCCTGGCCCAAGCTGTGTCTGCTCAGTTGTATGAGCCAGATCAACTTCAAGAACTGAAGGTAGGGTTGTGGTTTGATCCTTTGTGGTATTTGTAGTGAGAGGGGGTCAAGAGAAGGTATCAGGTTCTCTAGGTTAAAACTGGTGGGTTAAGGATGGAGAGCTCCTCTTCTTGTCTTCCTACCCTTCCTCATTCATGAAACATTCATGGAACATACACCCCTCCCCTCCCCTGGTACCATACTGTCCTTGATGCCTTCCCCCTTCCACCCCCCACCCCAAGTTCTAAATTCTGCAAAACATCTGATTTCTAACTCTTGCCAGTCATGAAGCCTTCCGAGAGACATTGCAACATTTGGAATGGGAGAAAACTGTCCCAAAGCTGGCAGACTTCCAAATGTTTGGTGGTTGGGAAAAGGGGAGCTGTGCTGGGGGCAGAGTCATGGCTCCCAGGAACCAAGAAGAACCTTGGTTCTGCTCTTCTCTTAACTCTGATAATGCTATCAGCAGCTCTGACTTTGATTTGTTAGGAGCTTAGAACAAGAGACCTAGGCTGAATCCCAAATTTGCATTAGTCACTTCTTTCCTTAAGCATCACTGTGGCTATGTCCTCCCTTACAAAAACTCCAAACTCTTGGTTTGGGACTTAGGAAGGCAGCTTGAGTGACAAAGTAGGGGGCAGTAACTCATCCGAGCTCTTTGAGAGCCAAGGAATGTTGCTTCTCTTGCAGATTGAGAAACTGGATCCCAGAGGGGTACAGCTGGCCGCTCTATTTATGAGCGGAGTGGACACAGCCCTCTTTGCCAATGATGCTTGTGGGCAGCCCGTGCCCTGGGAGCACTGCTGCCCGTGGATCTACTTTGATGGGAAGCTCTTCCAGAGCAAGCTAATCAAAGCCACACGGGAGAAGGCACCTCTCATAGATCTCTGTGATGGACAAGTAAGCACTGGCACTTCCAGAAGGGAGCATGGTGGCTGATCTGCTGTAGTCGCCGCTGCAGCACCAGGCTTGGATTTCAGGGCCAGGCCACACCTTAATGGCCATGATAGTCCGGGAATGGGAAGAGCGGTAGTGCAACACATCTGGAGAGTACCACATGAAGAAAGTCTTCCTAATATTTCCAATGTCCAGAACAGACTCTCAGGTCTCTCTCTATATATCTTCTCCTCTTAGAACTAGCAAAGGTCCAAATTGAGAAAGGAGTTGGACCTCTAAGAGTGTTGCTCCCGAAATTCCTGCAGTGCAAACTGGGAGAACCCCGCCAACTATCACTGTCTCAGTATCATGTGTCTCAGTGTCTTGAGCTTTCTTCCCTCATGAGCAGTATGCAGTAGCTAGATGTGCCTTTTGCATGTATGGGCTGCAGGCACAAGACCAGTGAAAAAATGCAGTGCTGTCACTCTGCTTGGCCTTCTGCACTTAAGGATATGAGCAAACTGGGATCTGGCTTTTCATCTGCCATCTTGGAAATATACTTAATTCTTTGATACTGAAAAGAACCCATCATAGGGTAATCCTGCTAAGGTGAAACACTTTTACATCCCTCTGATTTCAAGGGCAGGCTTCACATATTTAATTTTGGTTAGATCACACCCTCTGTGCAAATAACACTGTCTGAAGAACTGTCTTACATGATCTTGCCCTTTAGTACCATTATCCAGGTTGTCCATATTTTCCCACCCTACTTGTGCTTACTGTTTGATCTTGCAGGAATATACGTATGATATTTATATGATAGTCACAAAGTCACATCTGATCACATTCAAGAATATAAGGGAATAAATAAGGCACCAGTTGAAATGAACCTCCCATAATGTGATTTCTTATCTTATTTCTTGGTCAGACTGAACAGGTGTCCAAAGTTGAAAAGATGAGGCAGAGCATCCTCGAAGGCATCAACCTCAACCGCCAGGCCCCGCCACCTTTGCTCCCTCCTCCGCCCTTTGTGTCCTCTATGGCCCCACCCTTTTACCCTATGCCTCTCTACCATCGTGCCATTGGCTCAGTTCAGCCACCAGGACCTGGGAGAACCAGAGGCTTCACAGGTAAGTGGCTGTTTCCCCAGTTCTCATAGGGCAATATTTAAGTAGCCTGTTGTCCCTGCAGGCCCATCACCTGTTCTCTTCCACAAGTGGCACCCACAGTTTGTGCAGTGAAGATTTTGTGCTTCCTTTTAGGAAGCTCCAAAACATATGCAAAAGCTTGTTTCTGAATCATAACATTTCTGGATCAGCACAGCTTCCTTATGGGAGCTCTCCTGGACAGCCCTGTTCCACAAACAAATGTTTCTATCCATTTCGGGATCTTAGAGGAAGCACTAAATCCTGATTGCACAAGTCATGGGTGCAGCTTGAAAAATGGAATCAGTAGTGTCCCCACTTGCACAATGGCCTGCTTGGATATTAACATTTATATCCAACTTTTCTGTATTGTAAAGTTATGCTCATATCAGCTGACAAGATAAATAGGAAAACCACCATACCAATATAAACTCTCTGCCACACTGCAAATGAACATACTATAAATGTTTCCCTAATTAGCTTTTCAGTTCCAGCTTAGCCACCTCACTTGCATGTGCTGGGAATCTTTTTTTTTTTTCAAAACAGATTAATTAATTTATTTAAAATTTCTTTTAGGCTGCCTTTATGGGTGGAACCCTCTGATGGCAGCATATAAGATAAAAACTACAAAGTGGATACAATAAACATCAATAACTGGGTTCGTATGACACAACCCATCCTAGGTTACTACCCACAATCAGTTTTTGTGTTGTACAAACTCACACTGGAGGCAGGAAGCAGAGTTGTGTGGGTAATAAGTCAACCATACAACCCATAGCTAGTTCTATAGATTAATAGTATGCATGATGGGTTGTCTCATTGTCCAAACACAGACAATGGACCCCATTGTGTTTATGAGGAATTGGCTAGCAATTGGCAAGGCACAATGTTAAGAATAGTTAAATATCCATGCTGCTCTTTCCATGTTTTTCCTCGTCACCCTTTTGGGTGACCCAGTGTCAGCTGTCCCCAGAGTGGCCAAGTCTCTGATTTACAGCCAGCTTCAGTTAGTGACCTAACTAATAAACTGGGAATCCAATTAAATGCTTAATAGTAGAGAGAAGCCTTGCCATAAAACAGTCAGTCAAGGCCTTTGGGATGTTACATTGTGAAGCATTCCAGGGGATATTGCATACGATGATCAGCATTTGTTCAAAAGAAGGGGCCTCAAGGTGCTGGGGTGTGTTTAGACATTGTCTCCAAAAGATTAATAGGCGGTTCTGGCGGCTCTGTTATTTAGAGATTTGCTGGATATGTCCCTTCTTCCAGCTGTGGCTCACCACAAGAGCCTGCCATACAGTCTAGTGTTCCACCAGAAAGGAAGACCTGCATGCTTCACTTCAAGTGGCAGCACACACAAGGGCAGGGAGGTTTGATTGTCTCTGCATCAAACTTTGAGTCTTCCTGGGAGGGGGGAAGGCCCCCCTCATTCACGCTTGAGGACCCAGACTCCTCGTTTCCTGCCTGCATGTTTTGTCCTGAGTTCCTGTTTCTGCCTCATCCTTAAGCACAAAGGCATCTCTGCAGTCAGGAGAATCAGGCTCTTCTCCTGAGGACTTGTCAGACAGAGACTTAACACCAAGTAGCACCTGGAAGTGTCTCCCCCTGCCTCCAGTTTGCTGCTGTATGCTGCTTTGGGTTTGCTATGGCCTTTTTTGCTTTTAAACTTGTTTGCATGGAGAGACTGTGAAAGCTTTTGCCTCCCATTTTTGACAGCTATGAACATTTCCTTCAGAGTGCTCCATCAACACCTTGGAGAGGCTGCTCACCTTTTTAAAAATTTTACACAAAAAGATGAGTGCAAAAAAATTGTGTGTGTGTGTGCATGTGGTTCTGTAAACTTCTATTTCATTTTTTTTCTTAGTACAGTTGAACACCTCCCATCTTTTGCAGTAGCAGAACTGCAGGGATTTGAAGTATAAGGGGAACTAAGGACATGTGGGGAGGGGGAAGATGAGGATCTCGCTGTGAAGAGTGTGCAACTCCTAAGGAAAATGTCCTCCTCAGCAAAAGACCCCTTGCAGCTTTAGTCTCCTTTCGCTGCTTGCCTTCTGTAGGTGTGGAAGGGAAATTAATTTTGAGCCTCACCTGGGGCAGTGCCCAGGGTGGGTACCTGCTGTTCCTCAGCAACAGTCACTCCCCTAGACATGACTGCAGCTGAGGCTTCAAATCCCCACAATTGCACTACTGCACTAAATCATACTTATGCAATTACCTTTGAAAACGGTGTTTGTGGAGGTTGGGTTTTTTTTTTTTTTTGCAGACAATTATGTGTACAAGAACATTTTATGGGCAGCCCCTCCAAGGTGCCATTGAGACACTTCGAAGGGACTCATCAGAGCTGGAAAAACATAGCCGCAAATCTCCAATGGCTCACTGTAGCTGCACAGAATGGGGGAAATATTTATTTGGGAGGAGGAGCAAGGGAGATAAAAGGGGCCAGCAAACCATGGTGAGCCTGATCATCTGGCTGATTGCCAGGGCGGATTAACATGACCTGTTAAGATGCCTTGTTGTTGTTAGTCGCGAAGACGTGTCCGACCCATCGCGACCCCATGGACAACAATCCTCCAGGCCTTCCTATCCTCCACCATCCCCCGGAGTCCACTTAAGCTCACACCAACTGCCTCAGTGACTCCATCTAGCCACCTAATCCTCTGCCATCCCCTTCTTCTCTTGCCATCTATTATTCCCAGCATTAGGCTCTTTCTCCAGGGAGTCCTTCCTTCTCATTAGGTGGCCAAAGTATTTGAGTTTCATCTTCACTATCTGGTCTTCTAAAGAGCAGTCAGTGTTGATCTCCTCTAGGAATGACCAGTTTGATCGCCTTGTGGTCCAAGGGACTCGCAGGAGTCTCCTCCAGCACCACAATTCAAAGGCCTCAATCCTTTGGCGCTCAGCCTTCCTTATGGTCCAGCTTTCAAAGCCATACATTGCAACTGGGAAAACCATAGCCTTGACTATACGCACTTTCGTCGGCAGGGTGATGTCTCTGTTTTTTAGTATGCTGTCTAGATTTGCCATAGCTTTCCTCCCCAGGAGTAAGTGTCTTTTAATTTCTTGGCTGCAGCCCCGTCTCTGGTGATCTGGCCCAGGAAAATAAAATCTGTCACTACCTCCACTTCTTCCCCATCTATTTGCCAGGACATGAGAGGACCGGATGCCATGATCTTAGTTTTCTTAATGTTGAGTTTCAAGGCAACTTTTGAGCTCTCCTCCTTCACTCGCATCAAGAGGCTCTTTAGTTCCTCTTCACTTTCTGCCATTAGAGTGGTATCATCTGCATATCTGAGGTTGTTGATATTTCTCCCAGCAGTCTTAATTCCAACTGGTGATTCATCTAGCCCCACCTTTCTCATGATGTGCTCTGCATATAAGTTAAATAGGCAGGGCGACAGTATACAGCCTTGCCTAACTCCTCTCTCTCAATTTTGAACCAATCAGTGGTTCCATGTCCAGTTCTCACTGTTGCTTCTTGACCCACATATAGGTTTCTCAAGAGACAAATAAGATGGTCAGGTACTCCCATCTCTTTAAGAACTCGCCACAATTTGTTGTGATCCACACAATCAAAGGCTTTAGCATAGTCAGTGAAGCAGAAATAGATGTTTTTCTGGAACTGCCTAGCTTTCTCCATGATCCAGTGTATGTTGGCAATTTGATCCCTAGTTCCTCTCCCTCTTCGAAATCCTGCCTGTACTTCTGGTAGTTCTCGGTCCACATACTGCTGGAGCCTAGCTTGTAGGATTTTGAGCATCACTTTGCTAGCATGTGAAATGAGTGCAATGGTGTGGTAGTTTGAACATTCTTTGGCATTGCCCTTCTTTGGGATTGGAATGTAAATTGACCTTTTCCAATCCTGTGGCCGCTATTGCGTTTTCCAAATTTGCTGGAATATTGAGTGTAGCACTTCTACTCCATCATCTTTTAAGATTTTGAATAGCTCAGCTGGAATACTGTCATCTTCACTAGCTTTGTTGTTGCTCAGACTTCCTAAGGCCCATTTGACTTCACATTCCAGGATGTCTGGCTCAACGTCAGTGACCACCCCATCGTGGTTATCAGGGACGTTAAGCTCTTTCTTGTATAGTTCTTCTGTGTAATCTTGCCACCTCTTCTTAATCTCTTCTGCCTCTGTTAGGTCCCTGCCGTTTTGGTCCTTTATCATTCCCATCTTTGCATGAAACCTTCCCTTCATATCTCCAATTTTCTTGAAGAGATCTCTGGTCCTCCCTATTCTATTGTTTTCTTCTATTTCTTTGCACTGCTCATTTAAGAAGGCATTCTTATGTCTTCTAGCTATTCTCTGGAATTCTGCATTCAGTTGGGTGTATCTTTCCTTTTCTCCCTTGCCTTTCACTTCCCTTCTTTCCTCAGCTATTTGTAAAGTTTCCTTAGACAGCCATTTTGCTTTCTTGCATTTCTTTTTCTTTGGGATGGCTTTAGTTGCTACCTCTTGTACAATGTTGCGACCTACGTCCATAGTTCTTCAGGCACTCTGTCTATCAGATCCAATTCCTTAAATCTGTTTGTCACCTCTACTGTATATTCATCAGGGATATTATTTAGGTCATACCTGAGTGGCCTAGTGCTTTTCCCTACTTTCTTCAATTTAAGCCTAAATTTTGCAACCAGAAGCTCATGATCTGAGCCACAGTCAGCTCCTGGTCTAGTTTTTACTGACTGTATAGAGCTTCTCCATCTTTGGCTGCAGAGCACATAGTCAATCTGATTTCGGTGTTGACCATCTAGTGAGGCCCATGTGTAGAGTCGTCTCTTGGGCTGTTGGAAAAGAGTGTTTGCTATGACCATCGTATTCTCTTGACAAAATTCTACCAGCCTGTGTCCTGCTTCATTTTGTACCCCAAGGCCAAACTTGCCTGTTACTCCAGTTACCTTTTGGCTTTTTACTTTAGCATTCCAATCCCCTTGATGATAAGGACATCATTTTTTGGTGTTAATTCTGGAAAGTGTTGTAGGCCTTCATAGAACTGGTCGGCTTCAGCCTCTTCAGCACCAGTGGTTGGGGACTATTGGACTATTGTGATGTTGAATGGTTTGCCTTGGATTCGAACTGAGATCATTCTGTCATTTTGAAGATTGTATCCCAGTACTGCTTTTCCTACTCTTTTATTGACTATGAAGGCTACTCCATTTCTTCTGAGGGATTCTTGCCCGCAGTAGTATACCTGATGGTCATCTGAATTAAATTCACCCATTCCTGTCCATTTTAGATCACTGATTCCAAAGATGTCGATGTTCAGTCTTGTCATCTCTTGTTTGACCACATGCAGCTTGCCTTGATTCATGGATCTTACATTCCAGGTTCCTATGGAGTATAGATCTTTGCAGCATTGGACTCTCCTTTCACCACCAGATACAGCTGCAACTGAGTGTCCTTTCGGCTTTGACCCAGTCGCTTCATTCTTTCTGGCGCTACTAGTACTAGCCCTCCGCTCTTCCCCAGTAGCATATTGGACACCTTCCGACCTGAGGGGCTCATCTTCCGGCATCATATCTTTTTGCCTTTTGGTACTGTCCATGGGGTTTTCATGGCAAAGATACTGGAGTGGATTGCCATTTCCTTCTCCAGTGGATCATGTTTTGTCAGAGCTCACTGCTATGACCTGCCCGGCTTGGGTGGCCCTGCAAGACATAGCTCATAGCTTCATTGAACTATGCAAGCCCCTTCGCCACGACAAGGCAGTGATCCATGAAGGAATTTAAGATGCCTATTAAGTGTATTTTCAGTATAAATCCATAAAAGCCAAGATTATCAATACAAACAGAACACTTAGCCAAATGTTTCACCAATCTTTCTCAATCTCATGTTGGACCACAACTTCCATTATAGACTTTAGTATTAGAATGGGGAAGAAGAATGTGTGTTTTATCCCTTCACCTCTTTTTTTATATATTCCTTTATTCTAGGACTTCATCCTATACCACCCCAAGGAGGCAAGTTAGAGATTGCTGGGATGGTGGTTGGCCAGTGGGCTGGCAGCAAACCTTCCAGGGGACAAGGTTCATTTGGCATGCAAGTGGTGTCAGTCGGAGGCCCAGGAAAGGGGTAAGTACCACTTGAAGAGAAGTGGTCAGAAGGAGGCTTTTCCCTTTGTTCTCTACAGGATTTTGAGATGCTGGGTTTTTGAAAGGCTGGCTCCCTCCCTCCCTCTCTGCTGCCAAGGTTCTAAATTTAGCTGAAGGTCAGATGCCTATAAAGGAATAGAAACCCTGTAGTTTAGGGTTGAATGTGTACACTCCTAGAGCAAGTTAAAGATCCTAATCTTTCTCAAAATCAGTGATAATTTCTTAAGTAGATTTAAGCTGTCAAGGTATTTAAGGAGTAAGGTTGATTTTATCTCCCCTTTAATTGATTAACTGATTAGTCTTACATATTATATAAAACCTTTGAAAGCTGAAAAGTAGTTTGCTATAAGTTAGACTTCATTAAACACAAACAACAGTCCTTGATAGAATGGCCATGTTATATTTTTTTCATTCCATTGTATATAACACACCAGTGCCAAAATCGCACACATTATAATCCAGACTCTGATTGATCAGCCAGACTGTTAGTTCATTAATCTACTGGTTTAATTCACTGGTTTTCCCAGTGAAGTATTCCCAGTGTTTGTTTCATGGTTTTAGCAAGCAAATGATTGCTGAGTCATTTAGGTCATTGGAATACATTCTCCTGATGGTTCCACGTGAACTTATAGCCTGATTAGAGTTGATTAGGAGAAGAACCTTCAGCTGGTAGCTCCATTTCCTTGGAATTCCCAGCCTCTGGGCATCAGGCCAGCTCCAACATGGTTGTTTTTAGCACCCATTGAAGATGTGTTTGTTCCAGGAAGCCCTTGGTAACTAGGCACAGTTTTTACATATTCTGGTTTTTAATGCTTTTATAGGTTTTATCTTTTTGTTCTTCACTGTGCCAGAATTTACCTAGCTGTTGACAGTATACAAAGTCTCTAAATAAATACATTTTAGCAGAAGGAGTATTGGGTAGGTGTTCTGAAGGAGATTCCCTTATGAGGCAGACCACTTGTGGCTCTCCAGATGTTTTAACCCAATTGTACTCAGATTACAAACAAGCTTACCTAAAAGCTTACAGTCTTGAAAATGCAGCACAACGGAGGAAAGGAATGCTGGCAGAAGGGGAAAACAAGAAAACTGGAGCACATTTTTAAAATTACATCATTCTTGTAGTTAGTGATACCTTGAAATGAGAAAGTTAATGGAAGGGAGAAGCCAAAAGGCAGCTGATCACTCAGCTTTCCATTTCTCCCTCTGTTATAACTACATGATAATGAAGGGAGAAGAGGAGCCAAATGGCTGCTTTCACATTGTTAAATATATCAGTACTTAATATTTGACTGTATTGATGGTCTATATCTATAAGAGAGCTCTGGCTATTGGACAGTATAGAAATGTAAAATATGAACTAGAGCAAGTTACTAGTCTACAGTCTCTGTTAGCCTGCCTGGCTTGGTGACCTATGCTAGCTGCTGGCCCTAAAAGATCCAACTTTTGCAATGCCTTCCTAACTGGACATGATTCTTCCAGGTACTGAATGAGATGCTGTTTGTAAACTTGACTGCTAATTGGTGCAAGAACTATTAATTTTTGTGGGGGAAAGAAGTTTATGAAATGACTTTCCCTTTCATTAATGAACTTGAGCTGTTGCACCTCCTTCACTTTTTGTTTCTCTTCCTGCAGCCGTGGTCGTGATAGCTCTGGAAAGAACCCCAAAGGAAACAAAAAGGTGAACAAGCAAGTATGTGTTGCTGCCCCCACTGTCCCCTGTGCAGTGTTCAAGCCATATGCCTGCTGCTTGAAGTGATGATCCCTCCATCCTGCATCTCAGCTCTTGCCAGGCAGATTTTGAGAGGGAAGGGCTTCCTCTGAACCTGCAGAAACGAAGAATGACTAAAACGCTGTGCTGCAAAACAGGCTTTCCTAACCCCAGGAATCCTCAGCTCTCTTCTTGGCCTATTTATGTACTACTCTCCCCCAACCTCATAAAAAATCTGAGGTTTTTAATGTGACATTCTTGGCCCATATCCTGTAAAAGAAGCCTTTGGATATAACAGATGGCAAATTGCAAAAAATAGCACCTGCTTGTTGGGTACATGTTCCCTATTACAGGCAATTGTTTGCTGCATTTCTGTACCTGATGTGGAGTTAAAAGTCCCCATACTATTTGGCAGGATGATACAGGTGACCAAATAACTCTGGAGTGAAAGAGTTATAAAGACCCCATGGCCTTTATTTGGACACCTGTATAGACTCTGTGTGGGTGCTAAGGCAAAAGATTCATTACAGAAGCTGCTTCCTTTGCCCAGCTAAGGAGGGGCTGCATTTGTTATGAAGTCATTTTTATAGCTAATGTCTCAGTACCTGAATTTTCTGCTTACTGTTTTCCTAAAGGCCTGCTATTGTGCTTAATGGGGTGTGGGGGATTTTCTCTATCAGCAGTTTGACCACCTACAGGGAAACTGGTTCTTCACTGGGCGATCAAAATGAGGTATCTTATTTCCAGTGGATACTCATAATTTAAGGCCTAAGAAGCTCCCTGCCACTGTAATTCATGGTTCTCCAAGCTGACCCTTTTCTTCTACCCACAGTTCTCTTTGAATATATTAAAACCTCCTAGTAGCTTTGTATTAAATGTAAGATAAACACCAGCACTAGAGACAAGATGAACTGTTAAACGAGTTCATTTTTAAAGGGAAGTTTTGTACGTTAAGAAAATATTAGTATTTACTTTGGGATTTTCATAAGAATGCTTGCTTTTTAAGGACTCAGGTGATCCTGTTGGTAATGCAAACATTTTAGTGACTTCTTCTACTTGAGGATGCATGCTCGAAACCTTCACCCTACCCAAATATGCTTAAAACTGTGTCCTGCTATGTGGTACAGACTTCCTATGACTCCCAGAGCTCCTCCTTTTGTATTTCTGGTTACTTGGCCACTTTATATTTGGGCTTCCACGGGAGGTGGTTGAGGCCCCGTCGGTGAGGGTGTTCAAACATAGGCTGGACATGCACATGGTGGGCATGTCGTGAGAAGAGCCTACTGGACCGGGGCTTAGAATAGATGGCCCAGGAGGCCCCTTCTGACTCGCTCTGTTTCTATGTTTATATGGTTTGTAATCTTCTGGCAAGATTTTAGGGCATCCTCATGGCACAAGAGCCACTTGCTTCCTCCTCATCTTTACCAGATGTGGTTGTCTTATGGAGAAGGAATATCTTAATATTAAGGGCTTAGCTGTTCACTTCAGCTTTCTCCTAGTCCTTTTACATCACCACATAAATCAACCAAACTTTCTCCCTTTTCTCTGACTACCAACGGACTAACATTGGAAGCTGTCATATCCCAACCACTCTCTTTCATTTAGGGAGACCCCCCCAAAGTACAGTGGTACCTTGGCTCACAAACTTAATCCATTCCATGACTCTGGTTGTGACCCAAATTGGTTGTGACCCAAGTCAAATTTCCCCATAAGATTCAATGTAAATAAGGTTAATCCGTTCTGGCCCCTCTGAATGTGGTTGTGAGCCAATTTTTGGTCATGAACCAAGTCAAATTTCCCCATAAGGTTTAATGTAAATATGGTTAATCTGTTCTCTATTTTTTTAACCAGAAATTTTGAAACAAAGTGACAAAGAACAAAGTGACAAAGTACTATACAGTACAGTGGAGAACACTAACCTAGGTTGGGGGGAGGTTATTGTTTTGAGGGAGAGTCCCCCTCCATAAGGACACTGGGGAGACCTCTTTCAGGGGTTTCCTCTCTTTGTCTCTTAGCTGCAGGGTCAATTTTGGTGAAAAATCTGTCTATAGTCACTTGTTTTTTCCTGCGCTGCATAACCCTCTGGAAATGAGAGACCACGTTATCGTTCATCAGATTCAACACTCTGTTCATTACAGTTATGTTGGGGTGCTGCTTCTCAAAGAAATCCTGGCACTCATTCCATTTTTTCATAATGGATTGTATCACATCACTGCTAACTCCTCCCTGTCTTCCTCTTCCTCAGTGGAATCCTCCTCAGCAAGTGCCTTCTGCTGCTCACTCTGGAGTTCAGCAAGTTCTTCTGTCGTCAGCTCCTCTATGTCTTCCCTGCATGAACGCAACTGTGATTGTGGCCATCTCCCCACTCGGGGGCGGGGGGGAGATAGCCGCGATCTTGGTTGCCACCCAATGCGGAGTTCACGACCCAAGTCAAAATTTTCATGAAATTTTTGTTCGTGACCCAATTTGGTTGTGAACCAAGGCGTTCGTGAGCCAAGGCACCACTGTATTAGAATTGAATTTACCTTGCAGAGGGCCTATATATAAGTATTCAAAGCAATGTGAGTCTCTTTTTCCTTTCAGAACATCACCAGTCAACTACTACACAGGCCCTTGGCAATACTAAAGAAAGGCCTCAGGTCCATTCAGATACATTATAGCCCAGGGGTGGCCAAACTGAGGTTTGCAAGCCGCATGTGGCTCTTTCAGATTATTCCTCTGCTTGCCACTGCGGGTGCCAATGGATGCCTGCTTGTTGCTTGCCACCTGCTGCCACCACCTGTGGGCACCTGCTTGCGGCTCTCAAACATCTGACATTTACCATATGCGACTTTCCCATTCAGAAGTCTGGCCACCCCGTCACAGCCTCTTGGAGGCCAGACAAAGTAAACACTGGAGAACAATAGTTACATATGTGGCATTCTTCACACAGGGCTCTACTGATGGAGTGGCAAAGACGCCAGAGTTCAACAACAGCACCAGCAACAGCAGTGGTGGAAGCAGTCGCCCACAGTCCCAGGTGAATGGGAACGGGGTCACCACCCCCACAGTGGGCGAGGATCCAGGGGCTGGAGTATGCCCCTCTGTCACATCACCTTGTGCCTTAGCCAGAGACGCTGACTCATGCAATAACAATGGCCCTTTCTTCGGGACTCTGAGCGGGGACCCTGAAAAGTGCCCGGAGAACAAGCTTCCCTTCCCGGCTCTGCAGAAAGAGGAGTGAATAGATGCCGCAGTGGATCTGACTGGCAATGGGGGGACGGGTGGGGTGGAGAGAGAAGAGGTCGTGATGCTGCCACAGGGAGCAGCAGGGTGGAGAGATGCAAACCAGTGCTGGGGGAATGCCAGAAGTGGACGTTGGGAGAAGAGAAAGTGAGCTTCTGTGGTAATTCTCAGTGCAGCACTTGGGTTGTTTGTATGATGAGATCTTACCTCTTTTGAACAGCAGATATCACAGTGTGGGGTGAAGCAGAATGGCTTGGGGCTCTTGTGACCCCAACAATTGTTTGGCACTCCACCCTGGAGGGTTACCATTGTGCTGTTTGGATCCACAAGGGCAGTATATTTTTCTTTTTTAAGTTTATTTGGATTTCTTTTCTTTTTTTTTAATTTTATAGGGGAGGGGGGAGAGTCTTTAGGGGGCAAGAATTAAGAATTCTGGATTTTGAGAAGGGGCTATTTTTAAAGGAGAAAAAGCTGGCAAAGGTTTATTTTTAAATGGGGCAGATTTTTCCTGCCTTCCATGTTAATTTCTTGCCAACTCCCCACCATCAGGCCAAATAGCAGTGTTGCTTTGGGGGATGGTGGTAATGATATTGAGTCAAGTGGGGAGGGGAATGGGAGACCATGGTTTTTAAGAGAGAGAAAAGAGAGAGTAGCACAGCTATTGCAGCTTATACACAAGGCGTGTATAATGATCAGCTTGTGCTTTTTATATATATGAGAGAGAGATTATATTTATATATAACATGAATAGAGCTATATATAAATATGAATGTGACAAACCTGGAAGGGGTGAAAATGTTCCTGGGAGACAACTTGTCTTCCAAAGCGCTATTTGTTTTATGAATTAAAGGCCCACTTCACCAGTTGCCAGCAACTAACCCTTGTTACAGGGCTGCTGTGGTGAATGAGGCAGGCCACCTGATAATCAGACAAAAAACTTCTTATCCTTAAAACAGACAAGCACTTACTGTTACAATTCCAGGACCATGAGCAAACGGTTATGATTGGGACTGTAAATAGGGTGTGGGTGGATTGCCATCATGTTGGGGAGACAAAGGTATCCTACCCAGAGTTTAACAGAGGTTGATGTTTGGGATTCTAGCTGTAGTTTTCTCTGAAAAGGGTGGCCAGAAGAACTTAGAAGCTGTTCAATTGGAGACAGTTTACTTTTCTCTATAAGCAAGGCTGTGTGTACTCTGCAGCTTCAGCACATAACCTGGAATCTGACATTCTAGGAATCACTGTTTAAAAACAGTGCATCCGAAGGCTATAAGCCACAGCTCTTTTTACTACTGATGATTCTCAGAAAAGATTTTAAAGAGAGAGTTTCTGGGAAGAAAGCTGGTCAAGTTTTCAATATGTTGTAGGAATGATGGGAACTACAGTGCCTTGCACAACTGTCTCTCCTTTTATGGCTAGTACTCCTTTGCCCCTTGCCTTCTGGGGTCCCTAATCTCAGTTTCTTTCCTTCCTTCCATTTTTACCTTCTGCCACCTGTAGTTCTTGGAAAACTTGAAAACGTTGAATTTCAGAAGCTGAATAAACTATGTAAAATAAGCTAGTACCCTATGTGTGAAAAATGTGCACTAGATTTTGTGTACTGAAGCTGTCATTTAATGCAGAGTGCATACAGCTTTGATTATAAAGCATGAGTAAAATGGGTAGTTTTAAAGTGAAGAATCAAGTAACTTGGAGGTGAGGTTACGAAGAAAAAGATTAAAATTCTGTTGAAATGAGAACTAATTCAGTGTTTAGCTGTGTGCATGCATGCAGACATACAGTGCATACTTCAGTCTGATTTCTTACAACTGCCATGCCATACACCTCCAATAACTTGATGGTCAGGTGCTCAGAAAAAAAATGATTGCAACCTGAAATGTACACGGATTTTAATGTCTGCCTTCTGCTATCAGAAGGCAGACTCTGGCAGGCTGAATATTTTCTCCTACAGCTTCCATCATACAAGAGGCACAGATGAAACAATTCCCTAGGAAAATGACTCAGGACAGATTCTGCCACTTTGACCATGATCAGGACAGAAAAAGAAAGCATTTTTGTTTTGTTTTCCATAATGTATGAAATCCACTGCCACAAGGTAAGAGATGATGGCAACTCATTTAGCTCTCTTTTAAAAGGATTAAAGTAGTTTGTGAAGGCAAAGTCTGTTAGTGTCTCTTAATTCTGATAGCTAAATAGAATTTACATGTTCAGAGGCACTAGACCCCCAAATTTCAGTTGCTCAGCAACAGTAGCAAACAGGTATTAAAAATTGAGATGAGCAGAGAATCCACTCCTTTATTAATTTCTTTGACTAAAAAAGCATTTAAGACCCAAAGCAGGCCTGGGGAGCCCCTTTTCTGCCTAGGGTGTCAAGTCCTTTGCTGAGTGACCTGTTGAGGCTGCATGCTACTGGTGGGCAAAATCAGAGCCAAAAATTAGGCAGGGCGACCCCCTTTTCTTTATGCCCTTCTGTTTTTCTCCTTGCCATTCCTTTTCCCTTCTCCCCCTACCCATGCCCCACCCAGCATATGTTGGAATAAAGCTGGGTGCTCAGAGGTTTGGGATCTCCTGTTGAGCTGGACTCATCTTTGTGGGCTGCATGTGTTGGGCTTCTGGGAGTAATCCACAGCTTCCAGAAGGTGAGCAGCAACTGCAGGTTGTCTTATCTCCATTTTAGAGATTCCTGGTGCGAATTCTGTCTGCAATGGCTGGGAAAAACAGCTGCTATCCCTTTCAGAACAGATGGGCTACATGTATTCTTTCAGATGTTCTGACCTACAAGTGCCAGTATCCCTCACCATTGGTTATAATGACTAGGTCTGAAAGGCATTTTAGGCCAAAACATCTAGAGAGTTTTATATCATCTTTTGTATCAGCTTTATTATTCGAAGTAGCTAGAAACTCAATGGCTAGAAATTATTATTTGCTCAACATCCTAAATATATTGCAAACTCAACCTATTTCCTTTGTTGGAAGGATTCATGAGAAACCAACAAACTTAAAAAATCTCTGTTCTTAATGGTAAGGAGATGAAATCCTAAAAGGAGAATTGTTGCTTCATATATAGTTAGCAATGCTACAAAGTATTCAAGTAACAGTACATTTTAGGGGCTGTGTAATACAAACACACAAGCCTGCTTGTCCAGAAAATGTTTGATGTTCTCTTACTGGTGCCATTTTGTCAGATATATCCAAAACCGGGTGTAGCCAGTAATTGAGGCTTTGAAAATCTTGTTTGCTGGAGTCAGATATGGATTCCAGAGAAGCTTATTTTTTTGAACTAATTTCTATCCTTTGTGATTTAGATACAACAGGTTGCCTATTCCTTAGAATGTAAGAATTGCCTTGGTGAGTCAGTCCAAGTTTTCAACACTTATATCTCATGGTGGCTGGCTAGAGGTCCTTGCTATTACTTTCTTTGGTTTGTTCCTCTCAGCATTTGACCAATCCTCAGTGGATGCCATTGACCTTTAAAAAGTAGAGCAGCAAGGTGAATCCCTTGTGTATTTTACAAATTGGAGAGGGTGCAATGATTTTTCAGCACAGTTCCTATTGTTACATACCGATTTCCCATAGTCCCAAACCTACCTTTCCAATTCCTGTTTCCATCCCAGGTTTTGAACATGCAACCTCTACAGAGAAGGCCCCAATAAAACTCCAGTGTCCAATAATTTCAAAAAATGAATGGGGATTTGTCTACAGTTCATTAGATTCCTACTCAGAATGTGGCTTTTCTTAGTCTAGAACCTAGCTAGAAACCTATATTCAAAATGATACTACATCTACACTAAGTCCAGTGTTTAATTTCAGCATTGTAAGCTTGCAGAACCTGATTTTCCCAGGAACTGTATGACAATTATTTTATGTACGTATTTAAATAGAGTGTGTATATGTGCATGTGTGTGCGCACGCACACGCACATACATACATGTAGATATAGTCTCCTGTTTTTCTTAATTTTTGCAAGAGGAACCAGCTTACATTAATAACAGTTCTTTCAACGATCAAGTTTAGGGAAAGGTCTTCATAAGGCCTTTGACTGAAGATGCGCATAAAAGGGAGTATGTGACCTAGAACCATAGAGGAGCGAAGCATGTTTCATGCCTGAAAGCTTTCTACTTAAGCATTATACATCCGTGCTCTGACTTTTCTTCTGAGAGAGAAGAAGAAATCCAGAGCAGATTTTCAGATACCAAAGAATCAAGCCTATATTACTTTTGGAATGGTCTGAGATGCTATGCTTCTTGTGTTACAGCTGCAGAACAAGGCAGAACTTAAAATCATACTTCAAGGTATTTGAATTGGGCTTTTCAGAATGCACCCTAGCTTCCACCTCAAATGGATCAAACCATTTGGGAGCTGGTGTGGAAGCATTTTGTGTCTTGCCTTTTATTTGTGTCCCGTATGCTCAGGTCTGGAACTGACTTGGTGATGTAGAAGTACCTACTTTATTCCCAGGGTTAAGGGAGGAATAGTATGCATAATCATCCTGATGTCATGATACTTCCTGTCATATAACAGGACCTTATTTAACTACTTCTTGGAAGTGGGATTCCCAAATGAGATTTGGGAAGTGGGTTGGCATCTTTAAAAGGTGTACCAGAGAGGAGGGATTTTGCACCCCTTTTCGCTTGGGGTGCTCCTGCCACTTTAACTTGACAGTATTTATTGGAGAGAAAGGCAACTTCCTCTCCTGACCGACAGAACAGTTCTGAAGTCTAACCTATGAAGTAGAAAGACACCTACCTACTTAGGTCAGTCAATCACAGAGGTGTGCTAACACAGAGATTAATGTGCTTTAATATAATGCAGCCCAAGGGGAGGGTAGTCAAAGCTGTGTCTGTCTTCTTTTGTATTCATTTTCTTATATCATATTTCCTGTGTTTGGAATCCTTTGCAGCTGGATCAACATTTTTTTCTCTTAGCCATACAAGTAGACAAATGTACTGATTGTAAGAGATGGGATGGTTAATTTGGCGTTACTGTTTTCCAGGCTGCAAACATGCCATTTAGGGGCAGGGGCTTGTGAATTCTGTAGGGTGCATAATCTTTTGGACATAGAGCTCAGCTTTTCAGGAACCTAGCATTTTTTTTAAGTTTCTAATCCTTATAATTATAAAAATATTCCCAAAGTGTGTCAGCTTCAGCAATACCTGAATGAATTTTTTGATGCTGGGGGTGGTCAGATTTTATTTTGATTAGGGCAGAGTTTCTATTCCTTTTGTTGACCATTCACATCCGGAAAAATTAGGCATTTTTTTAAAGGCTAGAATAAATTACATAAACAAGACAGTGCAGATGTATATCATTTGCATAATTTATTCAGGTAGCAGAATTCAGTGATTGTGCATTTTAGATTTCAATTTCAGTGTACACACAGACTACCTTTCTACTTTCCAAGCTAGGAAAAATGAAGTTTGAAGTAAGTTAATTCTAAATCCCTTTAGCAAGCTTTCCTTATAAATTTGTAGCAAGTTATTTGCAAATGTGGATGCCATTTCCTCCAGAATTGCTCCCCCTTTGCTGAGTTGTAATGGTAGCAGGCATCACATATCCTAAAAATATCTCATGAAAATGTTAGGTGCTTCCACGCTGTGGGTGGATAAAATAATTAGTTTTGATAAAATTTTAATTTGAAGCAAAGCCTAAAGGTAGAGGAACATTATTGGCTTTGTTTCTCTTACAGTGTAGGAGATGCATTGTAGAATCTACATGGATCCAAACAACCGAACACCATACATATCTGGACTTCTGAGCATTTTGGTGGTTACTTCCTATGTTATTTCTGCCTAGAGTAGACCCACTGGAATGAATGGGACTTAAGTTAAAACAACATTGAATGCAGCCTTTTGTCCTTCATTTCTCTGCAGTAGTCAACGGCTTCAACTTTTTACATAGTATTAACACTCTCACTGATGTGGCAATGTAACAAAGCATTTCTGACGTGACGCACACTGATTGCTCCATGAGAAGAGAGCCAAGCGAACATGACATTTCTTTAAAACTAAAATGAGAAATAATTCTCATTATTATTCTCATCAATAATAATAATAATCCAATAATAATTGGGTTCATGCCATCAGTGCCCAGAGGGTTCCCTGACATGTGGAATGAGCCCTTTTCCGAAACCACAACCAGAAATAGAATCAGGAATATATGAATCCATTGTGTAAGTTTTGGTGATGCAGAGATTTAAGTTCAATCGGAGGTTCATAACCAAATTCCTAAATTCTCCTTTGCCCTCCAAGGCATTTTCTTTTTAGTCAGAGCTTAGAGAAGCCTGTGGTAGTTGGGCTGGAGGATTTTATCCCCTGATCACCCACAGTGGTGAAACTATTGCTTCTTCATGGATTGGAGAACCTTTGCTTATGTGTTGACATACCCAGAAACTAGAACTGTAGCCTGTGCTTGGGTGCTGAATAAGAACCCCATGTTTTGGCTGGGATGGATCAAGGTCAGGCTTTAAGAAACATGATAAATGACTAAAGAAATGGAGTTCATACTCATTTTAAAGCAGTTTTATGTTATACAAAACATAACACACTGCTGATCATTAACTCTTCTCTCTCTCCTTCCGCTTGCACCCAGCCAGTTAGTTCTGATATTCTTTATGTTTACAACAGTAGTTAAAGAAATCTGTACAATCTGATGACATTAAACATGCTTTTGGTTGTAGGGGCAGAAATCCAAAAAGGTTCTGCCATAAATGGTTGGCCTTATAGTTACAGTTTCCCCCCACCGCCAACTTAAAACCCTGAACTTGCCTGCAAGCTTCAAACCTCCTTAGATTTTTTGTTTTGTTTTGGGGAGTGCAGATTCCAAAATTAAAATCCTCTTGTGAAATCAGAAATCTGCAGTCTTTGAATGTGGGGTGTTAAGAGCTACACAACCAGGTCTCAACGGCAATTCAAATATGTAGCCTTCTGACCTGAACTCTGATCAACTTTCATAATCTCAGAATGCATTACAGAAAGTGAAACCATTTTTTGCTGTTTACCCTATTAGTAGATATAGGTATGGCAAGCCTAGATACTAGTCTGTTTATAATCCTGAAAAGTCCAAGAGGCATACAATGTGTGCACAATTCTGGAAAAGATGCCATTTTGGTATTGTGAAATTGGGGAATTTGAAAACATCTTGCAGTGTAGCATGTGAAACAGACAATATGGTAACAGAAAAAACAAGGCCCTTTGCAAATATACCACTTGATGATTCTTGGAAGGATCACAACTGTTCAAGAAATAAAACAGCAATACTGTGATAATCACGTCCAAGCAACAGGTTTACTTAGTGAGGGAAGCTATGACATCTTTTGGACCCAAAGAGTCTACTGAATTATGTTCTTAAATCATTATGAGGAATGCACTCTGAACTGGAGTGTTCTTGCTTTTTCTTCTGGCTGTATAAGACTTTTGGGTTTGGTGTGCACTACAAATCAGCCTAATTACTTAAAAGTCACTGGAGCTGCACCCCACATTCTGAGTCTTTCATCCCAATGGAGTAAGTCCTATTCAAACCAACTACGGAGATCACATTTATCATGAACCACTGTTGTGTTATTAACGTGGACAATGAGAGTTAATTGAAGTAACCCAAGTCCTCTCCCATGAGGCAAACATTTTCCTTTCACACCAAAATGTGTTCCTGCCTTCAAATGTGCTTCCTCTCACCCAGCCTTCTGCAGCCTGGTGCCTGCATTCTTGCTGAAGATGGGAATTGAGGTCCAATACATTTGGAAGGCATCATGTTGGGGAAGGCTGCTGTGAAGTAAAGGGCAGGTCCGCTGTTGGTGTGATTTCCAGTAGGAATAAAACTCTTCCTTCTAACTTTGTGTACTAGCCTCCAGTTCTCTGAGCACTTTCCTTGAAGTCAGCAACCATCCTAAGGATGCAACCCATAAAATTGTAGGCAAGAATCTGCCTATCTGCTTCCTTCATAGTCTTGTGACTTGTGGTGAGAGGGGCTTTAAACCAACCTACCAACCAATATTACCTGCATTTCTCTTGACGGTCTTTCATCCCATCCTGAGGCAGTAAAGCAGGGTGAGACTGTGTCTAGCAGTTCCTAAGCTATGGCTACCAGTTGGCTTAGCTGGACATTTTGAGAAACAGAAAACTGCAAATATTCTTACAGTATAAAGATACTTGAAAAGACTAGAGAGCCTTTTCAAGGGCAGCTTTAACCCTTTTCTTGTATGGCTTAGAATTCCAGCTTTTCTTGGATTCAAAACAAAGAAGTATACTCTTAGATCCCTGGAGGAAAGTCACAGACAAACATTATGACAGGGACTTGAATTCTTGTAGAGGGGCATGGGGGTATCCCTGTCCACAGATTACATATGTATACAGTACAGCCTGTGAAGAGGACACAGTGCCACTGAGTAGCCAAGTGGGGCAAAGAACCACCATCTTTCCTGCCCCATCATTCAACTTTAAAGTAACCTACGCTGCATATCCTAAGCACATTTACTTGGGTCTAAGCCCCACTAAAATATTGGTGCTTTCTTCTAAGTAAAGATGGTTAGGGTCAGGCTGCAAGAATTCTAAACAAACTATGTGTTCGCTTTATTTTTTATTTTTAATCTAGTTAGCAGAACTTTACTACCGAGGTTGAATCATTATAATAGCTAACTTACCTGACATGTATTTTGCTAAATATGCATGTTCTTCTATTTTTGATTTGCATTCTTCCCATCTCCCTCACCACAGCCCTCTTTTGTTCTGGTTTTACTTGTACTGGTTTCTTTTTTTAAAGTCCCCTTTTTAATGTTAAAAAAAATCTAACACCTTTTAGAAATATTTCAGTCTTCAATTGCTGTTTACTGTTCATTGCATAAAGTTGGACATTGTTGCTCACTTTCTAGGTATTTTTAAGGTTAGTTTTTTTCTCTTTTCAATTTTCAAAGGCCAACCCCTCCTCACTGCCCACATACACCTTATTTATCTATAATATTACCCTTTCAAATGGGATGTACACTTTCCTGACTATAACCATTGCTCTTGTATTTTGGTAGATGCTTTGTTGATAGTAACTAAATGCCTAGTAAAATTTTAAAAGTAAAACTTCAAACTCAGTTGTAATTTTAAGCCAGTCTTTCCCTGTACACGCTCTCGAGTAACCTTGAAGTTGCATTTTTTTTACCCAATATATATATCTCCCCACTGCCACCTTTTATAAATGTTTAGCCTAAGATTTTAGCTTTAAAGAGAAAACATACAAATAAATCTTTCGCTGAACAGAGCAAATCTGATTTTTTTCTTTGTTAGTGATCCCTGGTCAGTTGCAAGTTCATGCTTTATTTATATGGGAGGGCAATGATAAATTCATTATTTCCCTTCTTCAAAAGAATGGTTTTTTTTCTTTTTATGCTATTAACACTTGTTCTTAGTGGATGGATAAATGTTATCTTTACTATCCCCACCCCAACCTTGATAATTGAATCCCCCTCTCCCCAATCCTTGCACCCCACAACAAGCTTGATAGGTTGTTGGGTTTTTTTAATCAGTGTAAGTTTGGAGAGGTTGCTCTAAATCAGGGGAAACATGCAGTAGGTTGAAATCAGAAATCTTGGGTGTCTTTTAGGAATGTTTTTTGCTGGTGGAATCTGGGCGCGTTGTTCATCTATCGATGATGGAGAGAGACTTACAGTGCTTAATAAAGTCTATTCTTTTAGTAAAAATTTGTGTTTCTTACTTCTATATTGAACTGTGTACAGGTTCTGGAAAACAGACCCCTCATATTCAGCACGACATGTTTGCTGTAACGCCCACAGAAGTGAAGACAAAACAATGTAATACTGAATGAAGAATTCAGATTCCTTAAATAATTTAAAGAAGTGCCTGAATCAAACACCACTTGGGAATCGTAAACAAGTTGCTTTATCCTCTCATGAAGGCTGGGGTATACATATTTATTTAGGGCTTTTATAGACCATTCAATTAGAATGCAGTGCTCTGAGAGCTTTTGCTATCTTAATACATATTTTGAATGGATTGCAGTATTTAAATATATTGTAGCAAAACTTACCACAACTTTTAAAGTCCTACAGTGCAATTCTATAAGCATGGCTTCTCAGAAATGGTCCTGAGAAGATGAATGGTACTTCCAAGCAAGTGTGTATAGGACTTGTTGCTGCTGCTTAATATGTGTTTTTTTAATTTTAGGTAGTCAAATCTAGTGATTTGTTAAAATATGATTAGCTCATTGCATTTGAAGTGTGGCAGTAAACCCAAACCTCTCCAACAGCTTTACAGCTGTGTGGAGATAGGAATGTGACCAAGCCAAACACTTTAGGGTGCTTGAACTGACTTTTATTTCTGCATTGCTTAAGGACTGAGGGCAGTTGGAGTTACCAAAGAATTGTAACTGATTCAGACATTTCCTGTTCGATTTTTAAAAATAAATATGAAAAGAGACTACAGTATCCATCTGCCATTTTCTTTGTAAAGGATGAAGACATACCTTTTTTCTAAAATTCTGAATACCTGGTAAAATATGTCATCTTTGAAGAGAATTAAGTTTTTGATTGCACTTCTATGCATGCCTACTCAGAGGTCAGCCCTGTTGAGCTGAATAGGACTTACTCCTACGTAAGTATGTATACGATCAAGGCCTAAAGTATCTAAGTACTTCCAACTATATCAGGCAATGTCTCTTTGCTTCTGGAAAGGTGTGAGGTGGGGTATTTAAGAAAATCAGTATCAGAATAAATGCCACCCCCCCCCCCCCGCAATCAAAGTGTGTCATCTCTCTTGGTTTGAAAAAAGATGACTTACAGAAAACAGGAAAACTACCAACCACAAAAAGTGTCTTTACATTGCCTTGTTCTAAGAACTGCCTTTCCAGTCAGACCAGTAAAATTCTGCCTGGTCAGTGTCAAAAGGAACTGTCTTGCATTTGTGACAAAGTATGGTCTATGGCCCCTTCGTGGATCACTGCCTTGTTGTGGCGAAGGGGCTTGTGTAGCTCAATGAAGCTATGAGCTATGCTGTGCAGGGCCAACCAAGATGGACAGGTCGTACAGAGCTCTGACAAAACGTAATACACTGGAGAAGGAAATGGCAACACACTCCAGTATTCTTGCCATGAAAACCCATGGACAGTACGAAAAGGCAAAAAAGATATGACGCTGGAAGATGAGCCCCTCGGGTCGGAAGGTGTCCAATATGCTACTGGGGAAGAGCGGAGGGCTAGTACTAGTAGCACCAGAAAGAATGAAGCGACTGGGTCAAAGCCGAAAGGACACTCAGTTGCGGATGTATCTGGTGGTAAAGGAAAGTCTGATGCTGTAAAGACTATACTCCATAGGAACCTGGAATGTAAGATCCATGAATCAAGGCAGGCTGGATGTGGTCAAACGAGATGACAAGACAACATCGACATCTTAGGAACCAGTGAACTAAAATGGACAGGAATGGATGAATTAAATTCAGATGACCATCAGGTATACTACTGTGGGCAAGAATCCCTCAGAAGAAATGGAGTAGCCTGGAAATGGAGTGTATAGTCAAGGCTATGGTTTTCCCAGTTGCAATGTATGGCTGTGAAAGCTGGACCATAAGGAAGGCTGAGTGCTGAAGAATTGAGGCCTTTGAATTGTGGTGCTGGAGGAGACTCCTGTGAGTCCCTTGGACAGCAAGGCGATCAACCCTGACTGCTCTTTAAAAGGCCAAATACTGAAGATGAAACTCAAATACTTTGGCCACCTAATGAGAAGGAAGGACTCTCTGGAGAAGAGCCTAATGCTGCGAACAATAGATGGCAAAAGAAGGGGATGGCAGAGGATGAAGTGGCTAGATGGAGTCACTGAAGCAGTTGGTGTGAGCTTAAGTGGACTCTGGGGGATGGTGGAGGACAGGAAGGCCTGGAGGAATGTTGTCCATGGGTTCGCGATGGTTTGGATATGACTTCATGACTAACAACAAGAACATGGTCTATGATGCAGTATTGCCCAAGCTTTTGTGCCACAAACTTCAGTGATTCCATCTACTTACCTACCTTTCTTTGTAATCTTGCCTCTACAGAAGATAATGGTTTTACAACCAAAGTCTAATAAGCATTTAGTTTTTGGGCGGAGGCAAATAAATCTGGATGTTATGCAAGTATGGACTTGGGTGGTTGTGAAACAGTGATGGGCAAGTCTGCCATACAAGCAAATCCAAAGTACTATGCCTTTCTCACTGGGTTTCTAAGGCCATAGATGCTAATTTCCACTCCTGTAATATTGTCAGCTCACCAGAATGTTGTCCTAATAGCCCCAAACACAGAAGCATGGAAAGACAGTCCAAAATCTAACGGTGCAGTAAGTTGACAGAAAAAAAGCCGCCTGCTCCTAGCATGCCCTGGTCAGCATAACATAGGCCCCTTTTCCTGTGTAAACTTGTAAGTAATCTTACATGGACGTAAAATTATAGCCTTGTTTCATATTCATAGCATGTTTACTGTGAAGTAAGTTCCATGCCCAGTGGTGATTACTTCCAGACAAGGAAGCATAGGATCGCAGCCCAAATAAAGCATTAAAACGGGCCCTGTGTACACTTGGAAGCACTTAGCTCAACCTGCCAGAAAAAATCGAAAACAAGTCGTTACCCTGTGAAAGCCAGTGTGGTGGTCAGAGTGCTGGACTGAGGAGCTGCAAGATGTGGGTTCTAGTTCCCATTCAGGCATGGAGCTCATGGTGTATCTTCGGCGGGTCACAAACTCTCATCCTAACCTACTTCATACTGTTGTTGTGAGAGTGAAATGGAAAGAACCTTGTAAGCCACCTTGGGTTTTATTCAGGAGGGTGAGATATAAGTGTAATATTGCATCAATTATGATAGGGAGGCCTGGATGCAGAAATAAGAAACCAACTAAAACGAGTTAAGGTGCAGTTTTGCACAAGTTCAGACATAGAGATAGAGGCCCTCAGCTCCCTGCATGCCTTCCTCTGCCTAAGCTCGCACAAGAAAGCACCCTTAGCACTGTTCTTCCGGCTTTAACTGCCCGTTTCCATCATAGCACGAGACGACGTTATTAGCCGAATTCGCCCTTCCCACGTCCTTCTCAAGATGGCCACTCTTGCTGTGGCAGTGCACGAGGGAAGCTGGGAGTTGTTCTCTTGGTGACATACTCGACATGGCGGCTCACTTTCCTCGTTGCATAGAGGCTGTTTTTAGCAATAAGCTTCAATTGACAGAAACTTCCCATTGAGGTTTGTTTGTTTTCAAGAAACTAAAACACACTTGAAATATCTGATAGAAACTACAAGCTCCTCTTGTCCGTGACTCGCTCCGAAGGCAAACGGAGTTTCCATGCCCTATCAGCTTTTTGTTGTCCATCCAGCGTGGAACCATTTCGAACCGGAAGTACTCGTACACTTAGGCAGGAAAAAAGTCCTTCAACTCCCCACATGCTCCAGTCAGCGAATAATTGATAACATCGCGCTTTGCGTCCGCTTCCTTTATCTGCCCTTGCGGCTCGCTAATGAAAGCGCCATCTTATCATAGAAAAAGCAAAGTGCTCCACGGGAGCTTCCTGTCAGTTCCCCGCCCCTTCAACGGATGCCTTCTCTATATGTTTCGCCCTCGCAACTTTTTACGATGTCTCTAAAATGGACGGCAGTTCCTGGGTGGCATAGAGATACACAATGTAGAGTGACTGATGCACCGCTATTTGTATGTCGTTTTACTGGATGAGACAGTGGGGTAAAATACAGTCTCTGTATAGAAAGCGTTTATCTAGCTGCTGGCACTGGGTTGAGAGACGTTAATTTAAACAATTAATTTGGCTGTAATCTGAATTATGCCTTAAATGACACATTTTGCCATATAGCGTGCAATTCTATAGATGTTTAGGCAGAAAAGTTTTACAACTCCAAGCATACCCAAACCTGGACTAAGAGTTGTAGGACATTTGTTCTGTTAAAATATGCGTAAAATTGCATCCTTACTCAATTTAACTATTGTGATTAACATGCAAAAGAGTTTCTATGGGATTCTAACATGATCCTAAGTACATTAAGTTGATTCTATTTACAGGGTTGTATCCTCCCCAGTCACTTGGACTGCAAGACGATCAAACCAGTCAGTCCTAGAGGAGATCAACCCTGACTGTTCTGATGAAACTCAAATACTTTGGCCACCTAATGAAGGACTCACTGGAGAAGAGCCTAATGCTGGTGTTGCCATTTGCAGCACCCCAAAAGTAATTGGCCAGAGGAAGGCCACATAATAAAAACAACACAGTTATACTGTCCCAGAAGGGAGGGCAGATAAGAACAAAATGAACTTTGTGTAACCCACAGCTAACACGCTAGCCTGACCTCGCCTACAGTAATCAAAGGGACAGTGGAAACTGGTTCTAGCTGCCATGAAAGTTGCAAATGTGCAGGGAGTAAGAACATGGCAAGCCTGTGTGAATCTCGAGCAGATAAGAAATAGACATGGGAAATGTCTGGTCCTTGACAGAAGAAAGGCCTCTTTCTCCAGCATGGGAGGGGGTGCATAAATTGATGTATCGATGTATTAGATGTGTATTAAGAGACCTAACTGGTTACTTAGGCATGTACTAGGGTGCAACTTTTGAGACACCGCATTGGGCTGAATGTCCCCTTTTGTCTCCCTTTATTCTATAGTGCACTAGAATAAAGCTGATTTTGGCTCTAAGTCTCGTCTCAGGCTCTATTTGGCTCGGGTTTGGGGTCCACCTGGGTTTGCCCCAGCTGTTGACTGGCTGAATCCAGTAACACTGGGAACAATTGAAGGCAAAAGAAGAAGGGGACGGCAGAGAATGAGGTGGCTAGATGGAGTCACTGAAGCAGTCGGTGTGAGCTTAAGTGGACTCCGGGGGATGGTGGAGGACAGGAAGGCTTGGGGGAATGTTTTCCATGGGGTCGTGATGGCTTGGACATGACTTTGCGACTAACAACAACAACATCCTCCCCACCAAGCTTTCTACTCTGGCAATGACACTGGGCTACATTGCAGGGGTATTATTATAAATATTTATTTGTACTTTATTTACATTTATAAACAGCTTGACCATACCTACAGATACATCTTGAAGCAAAAGGGAAAATACAAAATGTCTCCATTAAAACCATGTAAAATCAAAGGATAGGCATTCTGAATAGAAACATCAAAATCCAAGAGCTGGCAAACAGTTGGAGCAGCACAATCAGCAGAGAAGGTCTGGGTGAGAAGAAGGGTCTTTCATTTGTGACTAGTACTTGCCACAGTTGGTGGCTCCCACACACAAAGGAGGGATATTTACAGGGTGAGAAAAGCTTGCTTCTGGATTGCCACATGATGGTAATCTGCAAGTTGTGGTACAAACAGCTTCAATGACATTAGTGTTCAAATAGGTATATCTCTAGGAAAAGCAATCCTCCAAGATGTCCAGGGCTTTTATATGCCAACAGCAATGTGGCTCTGTAGGTAAAAGGTAGCCAATACTGGTTGAACGCTACCATCAGATGCTCCACTCTGCAGGCTGGCCTCCACCTGCTGATCAGCAACAGCTTCTGGACCAAGCACCAGCGCAGTCCCTCATCAAATGCAGTAATATAAACATGAAGATAGCAATGCAAGGACTACATTAATATATTTTGACAACTCTATTGCAAATGTGAATAAATAACATAAAAAACATTCATGCACACAGAGCTTTGGTTCTGTTCCTAAAACTCCTGTATTAACAGTATTAATCCAACACTACAGGGTTGGCTGTTCCATTTATTGTCTCCTTTCCTAGTAATATGAGAATAGCACTAAAGTACCTTGTAAGATGTGCTGTAACCAGCTTTTGCTCAGCCACAAGTCTTTCCACCACCATTTAAGAACTATAATATCAGGATAATGGCCATAAAACTATTTGTATTTGCATGGGCAGGACATTTAAAAGACGTGTTTTTTATTTTTCTCTTTTAAATAAAATTACATGTTTTCACATGTAATAAAACATAAGTTCGGCTACAATTCCAAATACACTTAAGGCACAATCCTATGCATTTGTAGACAGGAAAAAAGCCTATGTAGGCCTCAATCTTACGCACATCTAGCGTCTAGATAGAAAAGGACTTGCGTAGGATTAGATCTTTAGTAGAGAATAAGCCCCTTGCACACAGAGAGACTTATTTCCGGGTAAAAAAAAGTATAGAGTCACGCCAGGGCGTGAACTCTTTGGTCCTGCCCGGAGAGGGCAACGCGACACTGCGACCAAATCTCAGCCACTAATTCCCAGATTTCTCCATTGTTTCCGGTGCTGCAGCTGTCACTTTTCCTACGCGCGAGAGAGGGGGAAATGGCGTCAAAAGTAGCCAAGATATCTCGTCCGCGTCCATTGAAACTGATTGGCCACTCCATTCCGTAGGAGCTCAGCAATGTATGTCTACGGATGAAGTCCTCCCCTTAATCTCCACCTCAAAATAGCTGGCTTAGTTCTCACCGTTTGGCGCCGTTTGGATCTCTGAGCTATCGCCACTCTCAAAATGGCCACCTGGACGTCCCACATTGTGCCTCCCCTAAGATGGCCGCCGGCCCCTCCTCTATTTTCTTCCTTTCCTTTCCCTTGTTTTGAATAAACTTTATTGAGAAGCAGAGGGAAAAGCAGGATCTTGGGCCTCGCTGAGGCCTTTTCAGCCGAAGAAAAGCTTACTGGAGCCGCTTTGCCCCGCGAAGGCCTCGATCCCCGACCTGGAGTACACCGTTCCGCCGGGGAGAAGGTGCCGGGACCAGGCGTATAAATCAGCAGTGCCTCGCGTCCGCCTCCGGGCCTGGGGCAATAAGAGAAAGGGAAATCCCTGCTCTAGAGCAGGGGTAGCCCCCCAAGACAAGACTCGTGGGAGTAAGGGGAGGCTTGGCTGGAAATTTAGGGAGTTGTGGGGCCGGAGAGGGGAACGCAATCGAAAGGCTGCCCTTGGAGAGAGGGGTAATTATAGCGCTCTTTGTCAGGCTGAAGGAAAAACTGAGACTCTCTCCTGGGGAGAAACTGGTAGAGAAGCGAGGAAAGTTTGAGATTTTACCATCTGCGAGGGTGACATCCCCGAATCGGGTTGGTAGCCCAAGAAGACAAGGAGGCACTCCTTCAATTGTAGGAGGAAAGGGGATTGCAGACTTCTCAACGGTAGGAGTCTTTGACGGGGTGAGCTGAGAGCCTGGAAAAATGTTTTTAAGAATTTTAGATTCTTAGCAGGAACCTCTTAAATTGTGGGCTAAAATTGATGGTTTTAAACACACTTCCTTAGGTGGAAATAGATAAGACGGACTTAACAAGAGCAGCTGCATTTTGCATGAAGGTTGGTGCCTGAGAAGTAGAGGGGAGGTAGGTGAAATGTTTTGCCCCCTCCCCTAGTGGGGACCAGGCTGACTTTTCCTCAGGCCTCAGCATGACCGGCTTCTCCAACTTGCCGCAGTGGACAGTTTGATGTTGTGCAACTCCTGAGGGTCTGCCTTTGCTTGAACTTGGAGCACCCCCCCTTCCCCACCATGGCTTCTGTCCCCGTGTATTGTCTCTGTCGCCTGCCCTACGATGTCACCCGCTTCATGATCGAATGTGACGTTTGTCAGGACTGGTTCCATGGCAGGTGAGAAGCCACAGCTGAAGGGGACTGGTATTTGGGGAGGAGGAAGTGGTGCCTCTTTGCTTCATGAAATCCAGGGCATGGATTCTCTTTGGGGTGCTGGGTTTGATTTTGGGGCCCTGGTCAGGAGCATGGGTAGAACATGTCAAAAGCACTCAACAGATAATTTCCAGAGACTTACCCATGTTAGTCTGTTGCAGCAAGAACAATAAAGAGGCTTGCCTTAAAGACTATCACAGTTATTTATTCTGGCATAACTTTTTGTGGCCACTGTCACTTATCAGTTGGTATAATAATTGCTCTAGTGGATCAGACCATAGACCTGCATCTGCTTTCCAAAAGCAGTCAAACCAATTTCTCTCTCTGCACATTAGTGAGGCACAGCAGGGAAAGGTTTTTCCTTCTTACTTGCCCTTATTGTCTAGTATTTAGTGGCATACTACTTCTGAATATAGAAGCTTGTGGATGGTTGCTAGAAATAGATTTAGGGGGGACCACAGCACTGACTCATAAATACATGCATTCAGCAACAGAGTTTACACGTGTGCCTGACAAACAGTTTATGTTCCTTAAGGTTGAGCCGAGGAAACTGCAGCCATCTAGATGTTGTTGGACTCCAGTTCTCATCAGCCAGTGTGGGATGATAGGAGCTGCAGTCCAACAACTTCTGCAGGACCACAGGTTTCTCACCCTGTCTTAAACTCTGCCAATGCTAATTGCTTTGCATTAAAAGCATGAAATAATTCTTCCCACTTCCCCGCCAAAAGGTTCTTGGCATAAGCAATACAGAGTATTAAGCAATGAGCAGAAATGGAAGTTGTAGAAGCACTGCACAAATAGAAGATCCAGTGGTTTTATTTTCTGTGCACATTTCCATTTCCTTTTATACATGCATGGAGTGTATGCATATGTCAACGAACATAGAAATGTGAAATGGCACTCTGTTGTGCCAAGCTGTTAGTTCATCTTGCAAATATTGTTTCTTTGACTGTTAGAGGCTACTCAGAGCTTGCTGCACTGAGTGGTTCTCCTGCACTATGCCCTATAGGGCATTAAAATAGGTGAAGACAGCTTCACTTCCAAGTTACAGGATGGAACTGTCAATGGACTACTAAACAAAAAGAACGGTTCCCTTGGTGCAACTTCTTTTTAAGCCCAAAGTGTCAACATTGGAAAGCAATCTTTGGCTTTGATTGGCTGTTGGCTTTGATTCCAGCAAGTCATTAGGATATGCTTGCTTAGAATATGAAGAACTGACTCAGAGAAAGGGGTCCATCTGGCATAGTGATGTGTATTGTGGTTCTGAGGTATTCTACCCCTTGTCTCTCTGAGCAGAAAATAAGAGCTCTGCTGTCTGTGATTGAGATATGCTGTGGGTCTGTGTTGGGCTGTCAGGCCTGGTTGATTGGGCAAAGGACTTCTGGGTGTTACTTTTTTGTAGAGATTGCTTCCTGTGCTTTTGAGAAGTATGTGACTGTCTTTCTCTTTCTTCAAGCTGTGTTGGAGTAGAAGAGGATGCAGCAGCTGACATTGACTTGTATCATTGCCCTAATTGCCAACTTCTTCATGGACCATCTGTCAGTAAGTTATGATCCTGTTGTAAGTTATGTGTCTTTTTCCAGCTGGATGCAGATGTGAAAGAACAGAAGCAAGAATGCCGTTGGCTGTATGTCTGTTATTTTGTCACAGATCTGCTAATTTCTGTGAATTAGAACTTTGGGTGTTTTGTTTTTTTTCTTAAGTTTCTAGTCCTTGTGTTTGACAAAAGAAGCTTCATCATATAAACACACAGTCTGTCTATTAAAGGATGTTTACAGTTTGGAGAAAAACAGTTTCTTTGCTCCAGTTCCTCATGCAGTTCTGCTCCAGTTCCTCTGCTCCAAAATACTATGCACCCATGCTAGTCTAGTTTTATGCTAATTTTTCAGTCCAGCTTCAATCCAGCACTTTATGATAACAAGGTTTTATATTATTGTTTGTTGCTGTTGTTAGTCACGAAGTCGGGTCTGACCCACCGCGTCCACATGGACAACATTCCCCCAGGCCTTCCTGTTCCCAACCATCCCCCAGAGTCCACTTAAGCTCACACCAACTGCTTCAGTGACTCCATCTAGCCACCTCATCCTCTGCAGTCCCCTCCTTCTTTTGCCATCTATTGTTCCCAGCATTAGGCTCTTCTCCAGGGAGTCCTTCCTTCTCATTAGGTGGCCAAAGTATTTGAGTTTCATCTTCAGTATCTGGCCTTCTAAAGAGCAGTCAGGATTGATCTCCTCTAGGACCGACCAGTTTGATTGCCTTGCGGTCCAAGGGACTTGCAGGAGTCTCCTCCAGCACCACAATTCAAAGGCCTCAATCCTATGGTCCAGCTTTCACAGCCATACATTGCAACTGGGAAAACCATAGCCTTGACTATATGCACTTTTGTTGGCAGGGTGATGTCTCTGATTTTTGGTATGCTGTCTAGATTTGCCATAGCTTTCCTCCCCAGGAGCAAGTGTCTTTTAATTTCTTGGCTGCAGTCCCCATCTGTGGTGATCTTGGTGCCCAGGAAAATAAAATCTGTCACTGCCTCCATTTCTTCCCTATCTGTTTGCCAGAAAGTGATAGACTGGATGCCGTGATCTTAGTTTTCTTAATGTTGAGTTTCAAGCCAACTTTTGCGCTCTCCTCCTTCACCCACATCAAGAGGCTCTTTAGTTCCTCTTCACTTTCTGCCATTAGAGTGGTATCATCTGCATATCTGAGGTTGTTGATATTTCTCCAGGCAGTCTTAATTCCAACTGGTGATTCGTCTAGCCCCACCTTTCTCATGATGCGCTCTGCATATAAGTTAAATAGGCAGGGTGACAGAATACAGCCTTGCCAAACTCCTTTCTCAATTTTGAACCAATCAGAGGTTCCGTGTCCAGTTCTCACTGTTGCTTCTTGACCCGCATATAGGTTTCTCAAGAGACAAATAAGATGGTCAGGTACTCCCATCTCTTTAAGAACTTGCCACAGTTTGTTGTGATCCACACAATCAAAGGCTTTGGCATAGTCAATGAAGCAGAAGTAGATGTTTTTCTGGAACTCCCTAGCTTTCTCCATGATCCAGCATATGTTGGCAATTTGATCTCTAGTTCCTCTCCCTCTTCGAAATCCTGCCTGTACTTCTGGTAGTTCTTGATCCACATACTGCTGGCATATTGAGTGTAGCACTTCTACTGCATTGTCTTTTAGGATTTTGAATAGCTCAGCTGGAATACTTTCACCTCCACTAGCTTTTTTGTTGCTCAGACTTCCTAAGGCCCATTTGACTTCTCATTCCAAGTCTAAAAAAATCATAGTTCTGTACTATGCCAATTCTGCAATTTGCATGATTTATTCAGATTCAGCAAATGCGGATAATCTGCTTCGATTGGCACCATCTCGTTGCATATCTAATGTTTCACACAGTTCAGTCTGGTTATGCAGATTTTTTTCATCTGTTCACTTTTTAATGGTTTTACATAACCTATTCACTGACACAACGTAGTTGCTAGTCATGTGGAAGAGCAAGGAGCCAACTTCTGAGAATCTTATATGGTCCCCTTTCTCGTTTCTGAGCTCTCAATAGGTATTGCCCACACAACTTTAAGTGTATGCTTTCCAGCTAGGAGTGCACTTTTTAAAAGTAAAAGGAGAGCTTATCAGATTGTTCAGCATATAGTGCCTAATGCACATTTCCACATGCTTCAGAACACTGTCACGTAAAGGCAGCCCTGCTAATAGTCCTAGGCATGGTCAATTCAGTGTTGACAAACCCTGAATTTAATTGCTTTGGAATGAGGGAATTATAGCAATGATGTGGCCTTTTTTAGAAGCTATGACTGCAGGTGTTATTTCATCTAGCAAACTGTTAAATAATGGCATGATGTTAGAAGGCTGACTGTCCCTGATTTAAGCCCTCCATTTTGGGGAAGGTTAGGGTTAGATGTGTTAGGATTAAAGAATTAGGGGTCAATGTACTGCATTGCATCCAGATTTTGTTGGATTGCATCTCCCATCATTCTTGATCATTAGCTGCCCTGTCTGGAGCTGATGGGAGTTGATGTTAAAAAATGTTTGAAGTACACCAGGTTGGGAAAAGCTAATCTGGCTTAATAGCACTCAGCTCTTCAGGGTTTCAGAAGGATTCCCTTACCTGAAGTCCTTTAGGTAGGGATGCTGGTTGGGGTTTGTGTGTGTGTGTGAGAGAGCGAGCGAGCGAGAAACACCTGCTATGTTTTTTAACACTGCAATAGCCCACTCATGTGTCAGTCAGTTGACTAAGAGAGAGAGAGAATGTCACCATTCTTTTGTCCTCATATTCTTGCTGTACTTGGGTAATTTTTGATTCTCTTCTCTTTTGTGCATCTGTGTTCTGTTTAGTGAAACGGCGCCGGGGGAACCTGAAACAGCTTGACTCATCTACAAACAAAGAGGTTGGCAAGGCAGTGAAGACTGGTAGTGGTCAGTTTATCAAGGAACTTCGTAGCAGGACATTTCCTAGGTGAGATTGTGTTTTAGATTGTCTCAATCACTCAGGAGAAAAAGAAGGAAAGGCATTCCATAATCCCCTTTGCAGTATGGCTGTTCCACAGAGAGAGTGAAACCTTTCCTCTTGGGAGGCCAGGAAAGCCTTCTCAGACAAAAGTGGCCTACTCAGGCACAAGCCATCTGACTAGGACCTCATTTCACTTGGCAACTGTGAATAGGGCAGAAATGCTGAACTAATGTAGTCATCAATCAGGGCTCTTTTTGCCAGTTAAAGCATTGGACCCCAGTGATGGGATCTCATGTTCCCAACTTTCTGCCCCTACCTAGAGCTGTACTGTTACTGCGGGAAATGTCAGCACCTATGTAGCCCCAGTTAAATCAGCTCACGGGCAGCCTAGCTGCCAATGAGGCTGAAGGGGGGCAGCTTAAAGGACAGAAAGTAGTCTGTAACCATATGTAACTTTAGGAAGACCCATAGCCACTTCTGGAGTGTTATCCATTATGTTACTCCCCTGTAAACATGGTTGTTCCTTCAGGAGAATATTGCAGAATTGCTCCCTGCTTGGGGCTTACTGAGATCCATCGTTCTTCAGTATAGAATGCTGGAAAGTAGGCAGCAGAGAGGCTTAAGGCTTTGGAACAAGGGAACTCCCTGGTGCTTCGAGTGACTTGAAGGAGATAGGAGGACCATTTCCAGGACAAGGCAGAGCACATGCATGTCACTCTTACAGCCACCTCCTTATTCCTGCTCTCCTTCATCAGGAGCTCACATTCTGGTTCCTTTCATTGTTTGGCATTCTGCCCCACAGTGTCCTGCTCTCAGTTGCTGGTTATTTGATGTCAGTAGGATAGGAAAAAATGGCTTGGCAAACACATTGTGGGATAGAAGGTGGATTCGTTTAAATAACAAATCAACTCAAACCAAGAAGTACATTTTTAAAAGCCAGGTTTCAAATAAAGCATCTAAGAAAAACTAAAAGAAATGTTATATTTCAGTTTAACTGTTATAATACTACTGCATTTTGGTAACTTTATAGTGTTTATTATTTATTGGGAGTATAATATGCAGATATGTGCATTATAAAATCAGCATCTGCACAGTGATAATCTAGTGAGTTCCTGAGGAGTTTTCCTATTCTCTGATAGATGTGCCCAAGCAGGATTTATACCCATCTGCCAGTGTGGGTTAGGTTTATGACTCAGGCCTCACTCTCTCTCCTGCTTCTCCAGTGCAGACGAGGTGATCCTAAAGCCAAGTGGGACCCAGCTGACAGTAGAGTTCCTGGAGGAGAACAGCTTCAGCGTGCCCATCCTTGTCCTGAAGAAAGATGGGTTAGGCATGACCCTCCCTCCACCTTCATTCACCGTGCGTGATGTGGAGCATTATGTGGGTGAGTGTCTGGGTTCTCGGGCTGGCTACCAGAGCGACCATAGAGGAACTCCACTGGGAGTGATCTAACTGCAGAACTGTGAAGCCGGGGGAGGTGGGGAGGCCACCAGATTGTAGGTAACAGTGCCTTTTGCTTGCTGAACTGGTTGATATAGTTCTGGGTATCACTTCATGGGGCAGGGGAGAGAGAGATTATATAGGATTAATATTATTTGCTCTACATTTCCTGTTCTGGAGAGTCTCTCTGCATGCCGCTGGATTGTGGCTTATAAAGTAAGTGAGGAAATGTGGAGGAAACTATCATATTGTGCGTCTTAGGCCATTTAGATGCCCATTCCTCAATGCCCAACATAATGGTGCAGGATATACCGCCTGATCTTGCCAGTAATGGAGGTGGCCAACAATGCAGTTGTTCCCCACATTCTTCTTTAACTGCTCATCTGCAGAGGTTTCCTTGACTTATGGTGGATCTAAGCCATATGAACCAGTTCATAGGGAGGCAGCTGGAGCAAAAACGGCTGTCAACCGAGCCCAAGTGAGTCAAATGCAGGACAGGTAGATGCCTGCCAAAGTGATGGCATTGCAGCTACAAGCATGTCCCCCTTTGGAAGGAGGGCTGTAAACATGGTGTGTGGGCTCCAAGTCCCTATATTTTCAGGATTTATTTTATTTTGTTATTTTTAAAGCATCTGTCAGAAATGAAAGGGGCATGGCACAGGAGGTGTGCTCCCCAGTTGTCAGTAAGAATTCTATTCACGCCTGCCTTCATCTGCTCTGGCCAATGAGCATTGGCAGGATTTTTTCAAAGAATGTTAAATGAGAACATCTTCGAATGCAAATTAAGTTAGTTTTCATGTGGTCATTTTCATTAGAACATTCCCAGTTTGCATCTGAAAATCATTAGGCAGTGATTTAATGGAGCATGTTTGTTTGTATATTTCATTACTGTACCACCCAATAGTTGAAGCTCTCTTCCCAGTTTAGAGGAACTCATAAATCAGAGATACACTAATAACAAAATACTCTGCTTAAAATTTCAATATACAAAATTGAGAACAGTTTTGATAAATAACACAATTTCAATTTTAAACACAAACAAAATAACATATTTAAAGCTGTACCCTGTTATATTTGTCCCAATACATTACGGGTATTTGACCTGAAATAACTGAGAAAAAACTTTCAATGCAGTTGTTATGATTTAAATGTTATGCTATATATTATTATATTGTATTACATGGCATTTATATCTTGCCTTTTTCTCTTGTGACGAATACAAGGCAGCTTACATAGTCCTCAGTGTAGACATGGAATACTTGTGAACGTTTAAGGACAGCAGCATGTGCATCCTGCATATTGATTAAATGTAAGAAAGACAAAGGAACTGAGGATCATTGACACACACACATGGCACAAGCCTTTCACCCCTGCCCGAAGTGTATGGCACTGAGTGGCTTCTCTGCAGCCTGTGTAGGAAAGGAGACACACCAGCAACAATCTGTGCCCCTGCCACACCTCACACCCTGAATTTTGCCTGAATGGTCCTTTTTGGCCATCTAGATAAAGCACCAGGAAAAGGAAGGGAAAGAGGCTGGGATGCCAATAGGAATTGGCATGCGTCCTCATCGCCAGCCTTCTCAGCTCCCCATCTTCAGCATGCCTCTTTTTTGCCCCTCCAAGGTGCAGGTGTGGCCTCAGGGAAGGCACCCAGAATGGTTCTTTTCACAATGGCTGCCGGGGGGGGGGGGGGGGGGTGCCCCCCAGCCTTTGGAGTCCTAGCTCTAAGATTGCAGGAGTATGGAGCTGAGATTCCAAAATAATCCTATGCTCTCCTCCTCAGACCAAGTCAGGAAGTTGGAGGATTGCATCTGAAGGGGATCTTGGAGTCCTAGATCTGAAACTGGGGACTCCAAGCTCAGAGGTGGCAGTCGGAACTTGTCTGGCATGGAAAGAACTGTGCTGGCTGCTCTGAGGTCAGGAAAACAACCTCAGCAAAGGGACCATTTCATGGGGAGGGGATGCGATGGGAATGGTAAGGATATGAAGCATTCTAAAGCCACTCCATGTCCCTTACCTCCTCTTCTGAGATATTCCAGCTAGATGGGTAAAAAACCCCACCCAGCAAAAATGCAGAGTGGGAAGATAGGCAGGCAAAGATACTCTCCCCTGTATAAGGCGACTGAAAGCCTCTGAGTTTGGGACCCTTCCACATATATTCCTTCTCCAGTTTGGTACCCTCCAAATATCTTGAATTACGACTCCCAGTAACTTCAGTTAGTTTGGCTGGCAGAGGATGCTGCAAGTGATACCCTACTGGAGGACACCAAGTGGAGGAAAGCTGCACTAATGGTTTTTAACCCAGTGAACCAGGCTTGATAAACTGACAGCCTCTCCTCTGTTTCTGCCAAGTCCTGCTCTTCCATTGGGGTGGTTGGGGCAGCTTCAGTGTTGCACATGCACACACATACTGGCCTAATTACCTGAAAATCATTAAGAACAACTTTGGAATGCCCACATCTGCCTAATACTGTATTTGCAAATGACATCCATTTGGTGTTACTCATGTACTTAGTATTGGTATTAGAATGATATTGGTATTAGTGTTGGTATTAGAATGAGAAATTAGTATTATTAGTACTTGCCAAGTTGCTTAGTTGCCGTTCTCTTTAAAGAGAATCAAAGCATGGCAAAATTATTCATGCATTCAAAATATAAAATAGCTAAAAACAATTTCTATTAAAATCCCAAAACATAGTAAACTAACCAAAAACATCAGTGCAGACTATAACCAAAATCAGTGATCTATAGAAAGTCTGTTGCATTCCTCCAGATGCCTGTAAATAGAGGAAAGCTTTGACTTGGTTCCATAAAGATGTCATTGTTGGTGCCAGCTGGGCCTCACTGGGGAGAGCATTTCATAGTTGGGTGGCCACAACCCTCTCCTTTGCTACCATCCTCTGAACTCCCTCTATGGAAGCACTCTAAGGGGGACCTCAGTGTAGGGGTACTTTCAAGCTCGAAGAGGCTCTCCATTGGATATTGCAGTCCTGAGCTATTCAGACTTTTATAGATCCATGGCAGTACCTTGCATCGGGCTTAGAAATGTATGGGCCATCAGTGCAAGCAGGCTAGGATTAGTGCTATATGCTAACAAATTCTGACTGCCACAGTTTCCAGATGTTGGTGCTGCAGTTTCCAAACTCTCTTCAAGGACAGCCCCACACAGAATGCATTGCAGTGATCCAACCTGGCGGTTACCAGAGCCTAAGCTGCACCCCTGTCCCTATGGGGGTGAGGCATGGCCACAGACTGAAGCTGGCGGAACACCTTGTGTACACCTTGATAATGTAAGCTTTAGCAGGAGGTGTTTCTTGGGTTCTCTTCCACTGTGGTTATCACTCCAGAAATGAATGATGTTTGTGCAGAGACTAGCTGCAGAGGACAGCCATCTCTTTGACTGAAGTATCCGTTGCTGGCCAAGGTGCTGGAGTAAAGGAGCCACAAGAGGGAGCACTTCACACTGCTGAGCTTACAGAGTTAAAGTGACACTGTTTCATAAAGGCAGGGATGTGAAGCCAAATGTTTGGGAAAAGGTGCTCTGCTACCATTTTCTCTGGCTACAGCACCCTCCTGCTCCCCTCCCCATCATCTGTCTTATCCAGCATGGAGCATATCTGTTTTCAACAGGTGCTGACAAGGAGATTGATGTAATTGATGTAACACGCCAAGCTGACCTCAAGATGCGCCTGGGTGACTTTGTCAGCTATTACTGCAGCAGCCGCAGGGAGAAAGTCCTCAACGTCATCAGCCTGGAATTCTCTGAGACCAGGCAAGTGGGCTGGGGATGGAGAACAGATGTGCAGCTACATGACTAGGGAAATTCCTCTCAAAGAGGAAGCCCCAGCTTTGGAAAGGAAGCTGAGCTATTCCCCTCCTCCTGACTTGATTTGTCCCCATATGGAGCAAAACAAAAATCTGCATGTTCTTCTTTGTGGTCTCTGAGCCTCACACACAAGGGCTCTGCACCTGCATGGAGCCTGTTGTGGGGAAGATTTCATAGCTGGGAGTGTTTTGGCAGGAACTCCTCCCTTGCTCTAGCAATTGCTATATATAGAAGGAGTTCCCGCCTCTTTCCTCAGTTCTTGGACCACCTTCTGTGCTGCCTCAGGAAGTTCTTTCTGTCTCTTTCTTTGTCAGCCTCTTTCCTCCTTACTGCCTTTTCTCAAAAACTTTATATACCCACTTCATTCTTTTATTCTGTTTCCTATACTGTTACCTGTTTACTTTGTTTGAACATTTTTTGAAAATTCCATCTCTTCCCTTTGAACTTTTTCTTAATTTTCCCCTTCTCTTGGTACTGTTTCGTGATGCAAGTTTTTCTGCCTACCTTGTTCTCCTAAATGTGAAGAGATGGGGAGGTATATAACAGGCAGTTGGGAGCACAGACAAGCATAAGAGGATATGGGTGTTTCTTTGGGAAACTCAGACTTTCTGTTAAGTGGAGGGTGTAAAGCAGGAGAGGAAAGCCCCCAGACTATGAGTCACCTGCTCCATGCTCCCTCTGGTGATCACTGGATTCTGATGCTGTTCTGGTGTCTCTGCAGTGGGGAGTGCAGCCCATCAGACACTGTCTGGGTCCAGGAGGTGGCCCAGTGGCAAGGATCTCTTCTCACCTCTTCTTCAGCCATGGCTGGGAGAGCAACCAGCTGTCTGGAGATGGGACATTCAGAAGGCAACTGTGGCTTGGACAGACTGGGTTGGGTTGCAAGTGCTCCAAGGCGAGAAGATGGAAGCCTGTCATATTTTCAGTATTCCATGCTGGATGTCGCTTTGCCACTTTTTTCCTGGCAGTGCTCCTTTGCCCATGTAAGGTCTTTCTGCCTTTGCAGCTGTTTAAAAAACCCTTACTGGGAGAAAGGAGGCCACCCGAGTAAGAGGTGGCAATCTTGAGAGTTTTTAAATATTGGGGAGAGCATGTAGCCTGCATGGGAAGGGAGCTTTCAGAATGTTTAATCTGGTACATTAGCAGTGAAACAGAACTGAAAAGAAGGTTTTAAGCCTGGAGTTGCAATGACATGGGAGAGTTTCTGAGACATTGTCCATCCAACATGGACCTCTGCTCATTTCTGCTTCTGGTCGCACCCAATTTGGAAGGTAGACTCAGTTGGGATGGATCCCAACAGGAAAAAGGTTCCCTGCTCCTTTCACAGAGAGGCAGAGGTGGGGGAGCTGTTATATCAATGTAGTGCAGGGGTGCAGAACTGCAAGCCCCGGGACCAAGTCTGCCAGGATGGCTATGCCCTCTTTCCCCCAGCCACCAGTAATGTGGCACTTTCTTGGCTTTCATGAAGTTCTTTCCCCTCTCTAGGAAACCTGTCTCCTGAAGCTTACTTACCAGCACTAAAACCTAAATTTGAAATATGTGGGCTTGGTATTTTTTGAACCCTCTCATAATGCCTCCAGATATGCCTTCCACTGGAGTGTGTCCCCTGAGAGTTTCTCTGAAATTAAAATTTGGCCCTTGGGCTTAAAGAGGTTTTGCACCCCTGATGACTTCAGGGAAGACTCCTGTTCAGCATCTCATCTTGGAGCCTTAGACATTACATAGGATTTTGTTGAAAATTGTTGAAAAGCACCTTCCTGAAGAAGTAGCAGAACTAGCAGATAGTTCATTTACCCCTTCCGAGGAGCTGGTTTTCTCATCTTGGAAGAAAAGATTCAGAACCTGGTTTGCAGACTGTCAGGGTTTCTCTCTTCTCCACTGTGGTGGGAAAACACAGATGCATATGAACCTGCATGAGCAAATTACCAGGCAGCAATAGTGCAAAGGAGTTCCCATCTCATTTCCTGACTTGCACTAGCAGTTAGCTGTGATTGCTTTCCAGTGGACATATGGGGAGGAGTGAGGGTTGTGGCCCCCATTCCACACTGCTGTTCTGTCACAAAAGCTGCCAAGGCCGCTTTTCAGTTTTCAAAAGGGGAAAAGATATATGCGTTTCCCTGTGGCACTTCTTCCCCTCATTTACTGATCCATTTGGTGGCCTTGGGCAGCCTGCCCTCCACCCAGCCTCAAACCCATTCCCTCTACATGTAAACTGGCAGTAGTAGTATTATTTGATCTTGGCGCTGAAATGCTTTGAAAGCTCCAAAAGCTCTATTAATTGCTAATCATTAACATTTACATGGCAAAGTGTTTATATGTGTAAGGATTTAAAAAGTGATGCCTTTGGTTTAAATCTAATAATCTGTCAGCTGGCACACACTGGAACTCCGTCAGAAGGAATGTTTGGAATGCATTCAGTCCATTCTGTCTTCCTTTGACATTTTTCCAGGCTCTCTAACTTGGTGGAGACCCCAAAGATTGTGCGAAAGTTATCCTGGGTGGAGAACCTGTGGCCGGAGGAGTCGGTATTTGAGCGACCCAATGTGCAAAAGTATTGCCTGATGGGAGTGCGGGACAGCTACACAGATTTCCACATTGACTTTGGGGGCACCTCTGTCTGGTATCATGTGTTGCGGGTAAGGAGGTGACAAAGAGGGTGTGGTGCAAATGGATTCTTAGAGTTAAGCCACACAATTGTATTTACCCCCTCTTATGTCCCAGCTTGAGTCTGAATGTCTCTCTCCTTGCTGCCTACCCACCACCTTTTTACAGGTTTCCCTGTATGTAGAAAACTAGTATGTCAGGGACAAGGGTTTAGAACTGAGTGGCAAGATAAAAATAAAATGCATAGAGAAGTGTTACAGTCTAGTATGGCCCCTATTAGTGACCGTTGCTGTTGCCCTTGTATTCCTGCTTTTGTTTTGTAAGCAATGAACATGACCGTCCTGCTTAGCCATGTGAATTGACTGAATGTTGTTGAAAGCCGAAGGAGGCTTTTCCCATGGAAAGCAAGAACTAATCAGCAAAGATATGGTTCTTGCTTTCAGTTTGATCCATGTATCATATATTAGTTCCTAATTCCATTGCCACTGACTGTAGGAATGCTGCTACTGTATATTCCTACAATCAGTATGTTTTTTCTTCATTGCTGTGTGGTGAGACTTTTAGAAACTGGATATGTTGGATCCAGAAAAAAGTGGGAAGCTAAGATTTGGCTAAATTTGGCCAGAGCTCCACCCAGAACAAGTCAAAAATATTGGTTTAAACTGAAGAAACATATGTTCTGTGATTTCATGCAAATTCAGGGGGGAAAAGCATCCCAGATTAAGTTTATGGCTGCAGATTTAAATTTTTGGGAAGCCTGAACTGTACTTTCAAACACTTGTTTCTAGACTCTATGGCTGTCAAAATAGGTTTGAAAATATGCCATCTTACAAGATTCAGCTCTTCTTGGTACAGAGCATCAGTTCCCTTGGTACAGAATATAGGGGCACAGAACTTCAGGCCCAGGACCCAAATCCATCCTTCCAGGGTTTTCCAGAGGGCCATGACACTATCCCCTGAACAGTAAAAACTCTTAGCAAGAATGTGCTGCTGTTTTGGGATTTTGGCCCTACACCCTTTCATTTTAGCCCAACCCCTTTTGCCATCAGCAGTCTACCACTGGAATCTGGAATGAGGCCTTTGAAAACTTATCTGAAATAGAATTTGGCCCTTGAATTGAAAGAGGTTCAACATCCCTAGCATAGAATATAGTTCTTTATTTGGGCTTCTTTATATACAGGCAGTCCTTGAGCTATGAACATCCAAGTTGTGAACAAACCATACTTATGAAAGAAGTGCTGTAAAACCTATTAATTTTAAAAATTACTGCAGAAAATCACCATCACTGGAGGGAGGCGAGGGGGGGGGAGAGAGGAAGTGAAAGGGGAGAGACAGAGGGCCTCCAAAGCATCACCACAGAGAGAGAGGAAGTGAAAGGGAAGAGAGGGAGACCTCCAAAGCATGTCTTCCTACCCCACCCATTTGGAGAGGGAAATCTTTCCTGTACTTTCTTTCTGCAAAGAGGAAGTACTGGTGGGTTAGATAGCGGGGGATGGGAGGCTAGAGACATTCATGGTTTTTCCACTTGCATGGGGGTCCTGAACAACCCAACCCCCATGATTGTGAAGGGCTGATTATATGTGGTCTGACTTGCATGCACTTTTGGCTTAAATCAATTTGCTCAGGAATAGAACTTGTTTGTAAGCCAGGAACTGCCTGTATGAAGGGACATAGCAAACTAAAAGTTAGTGAAAGACGTGACTGGCTGCAATAAGCTGCTGAGGGAAGTAATGAAATCCTTGAAAGGTTGGTAAAGCATCTGTTGGGCTCACTTTAAGGGACTACACAAGCTATTCAGGGAGAACAGGGAGACAGATTTCCATTGGGCCCTTTGTACTTCTTTGAATCTCCATATCATCCCATCTTAGTTTGAGGCAGGCAGGGTTTTTTTACAGGCCTTGTGGCAACCTTGCTGCCCATTTGCTCCATCTCAAATGTCCCTGTAAAGAAGAGAGTGCTTCCTTCAGACTCCCTGTCTCTTTGCAGGGACTCCCAGCCCCTTGCATGCCATCTGCCTTTGCTCTGTTTGTCTACCCTGCATTTTTGTTCACTCCAATCATCTGGGGAGCCAAAGATGAAAGTGGCATATTAGGAAAAGTTGCAGGGGAGCAAGGGGATGTCTGTGCCTAGGTTGTTCTCCCAACTTTTTCTTCTCCATAGGGAGAAAAGATATTCTACCTGGTGCGTCCCACTGCTGCAAACCTGACGCTCTTTGAGACATGGAGCAGCTCCTCCAATCAGAATGAAATGTTCTTTGGGGATCAGGTGGACAGGTGCTATCGCTGCCCCGTCCGACAGGGCCAGACTCTCTTCATACCAACAGGTATTGGCCCCATGAGAGCCAAGTCAAATAACTTTAGCTTGCAAGTACTGCCACTGCTATTGCAATGCTGCTTGAGCCTTCATTTCCCCCCGTTCAGTGGTAGCTCCTCTCCTTCCTTGTGCCTCTGTTTTGAATGATGAAAACTCTCCACTGCAGAGAATGGGGAAGGCCCATTTGCATCCAGCCGTTGGAGGCATCCAGAGCAGCAGCGCTCTTTCCATTTGCCTTTCTTTCAGTTTTTCAGACAAAGATCTCATCAAACCTTGTCTTGTAAGTGGCAAGTGCTTCTAAGAGGCTGATCTTACATCCAGGTGGCTTACTTGTTCTTCCATCCTTGCCTTTTCAGGGTGGATCCATGCAGTGTTGACCCCTGTTGACTGCCTGGCCTTTGGGGGCAATTTTCTACACAGTCTCAACATTGAGATGCAACTCAAGTGAGTCTGGTGTGATGTAGTTTGCTGTCCACAGTGGAGGATCTTGGGAATTGGTAGGACAGAGGGGAAAGCCATAGCTCAGAGGTAGCATGTTCTGCAAGTTGAAGGTTGTAGGTCCGATCCCTGATACTTCCAGATTGGACTGGAAAAGAATCTTGCCTGAAAACCTGAGGAGTGACTGCCAGTCAGTGCTAATAACACTGGCCTAGATGGACCAAGGGTCTGGTGTGGTATAAGGTGGCTTCCTATGCTCTTAGAAGGATCCAGCATTGGGGAAGAAACAGTTGATGGGGCTCAGAGCAGGTATGGAGCTGTGTGTAGGTCGTGATTTTTGTAGGAGCACAAAATGCAATGTTGGGTTCAGAACAAACGTCCAAAGTATCTCCATTTTTTCAAGGTGTGGATTTCTAGCTCTTCTAGTACAAGTGGGTGTGTACAGGCAGTGCCAGACAAAATCACTGGAGCTTTGCTGAATAAGGCTTCCAGCAGTCCAAGGGCTTGGGTTTTCAGCAGCCTGTAGAATTACTTCTCCTTTCCTCATTTAGCAGCAGCAGAACAAATCACTCGAAATAAGTTCTGCCAAGCTGAATTGACAATTCATTTTGGAGTGGGTTATTTTTTATTTGCTTTTATTGATTGATTGGTCACAGAATTTAGTTTCCTATGGCACAGAATTTTGCTGGTTCTTTTAAACCATAGAATATATATATGCTCAGACTTTACCCGCCTTTCCTTTTTCTCCTGTCTAGAGCTTACGAGATTGAAAAGCGCCTCAGTACAGCTGACCTCTTCAAATTCCCAAACTTTGAAACCATCTGTTGGTACGTTGGCAAGCACCTGCTGGATATCTTCCGAGGTAGGTTTTGAGTTTGCCTATTCCCAGTTCCCCCTCAATGCTAGGCCTGCGAGTGACCACAGGTCACACTGTGTGTCTTCCTGGCAGGTCTTCGAGAGAATCGCAGACACCCTGCTGCTTATTTGGTTCATGGGGCCAAAGCCCTGAACACAGCCTTCCGCTCTTGGACCAAGAAGGAGGTAAAGGATTGTGAACATGCTTCTTTGACCGAAGAGCATTTGAGTTAGTAGCTGACGCGGTCAATGGTGAATTAGGGACACTGCTTGTTCACATTTCTGCTAAGAATCAAAAGGGAATGAAAATCATCCAAAATGGAAAACTGGCATTTTAGAATGAAACAGTTCATTTTAGAATGAACTTTTCTTCTCTGCAGGAAGTTAGGGTCCCATGAAGAAGACTTCAGGTATGTCAGCTTCTGTCTAAAACCTGAAGTAGCTCAGGCCAAGCATGGGTTGTTTACCTCAGTGGGGACTAGCCCCAAGTGTCAGGCACTTGGAGGGGAAGGGTAGAGTAGGGTTGTTGAACCCTACAACAGGTAGGGTTCAACCTAAGGGCTGAGTTCTGTTTTGGAGAAGCTCTTGGATGGGGCCACAAGCAAAAAGGGGACTGGGTCAAAGATATCAACATGAGTTAACTTAAAGCTATTCCTCCCAGTAGCCAAAGCATAGCAGATAACATTTCAACCTTTTAGAATGGGGAAAAACTGCAGAAAAGCCTGGAAACCTCCGAACAATCAGTGTTCAGAGGAAAAGGGATGTGTCCATTTGGGGAGCCCTGGGGAGCTGTTTTGGCCCCCAGGCCTGAGCTTCTGCACTCCTGTTGCAGAGGTATCTCCTTGCGTGACTGGCCTCTCAATCCAACACAGAGGGCTGGACCTTGGAGCAACTTGGTTTTGTTCTCCCCAGGCCCTGGCGGAGCACGAGGAAGAAATCCCTGGCGCTGTGCGTCCAGCCCAGCTCATCAAAGATCTGGCCAAGGAGATCAGGCTTGTGGAAGTGAGTATGAGGAGGCAGGATGTTTCCCTACTGAAGGCATGAACCATCTTCTGGGATGGCAGAGGTGAGGGTGGTGGGGACGTGGCATGTTGGCACCATCATTTCCCAGCATAAAACAACCTTCTCCCCAGTCTCAGAGATCTGTTGATTAAGGATTGCCAGTGTTTTGCTGGAGGGGAGCCTTCTTTAACCTGCTCTGTCTAAAGAATACCCAGGGGAATGGTTGATATGGTTTTGTCACTGGCTCTGGGCAGGTTCCTTGCTTTCATCCTGGGCCATCTTCCATCAGTGAGATCTGTTTGCATGCTTATGAATGTTTATGAACAGTCTGGTGGCTGGCAGAGTTGCTACTCTCAGCATGTCTCTTCACACAGCAAGGAGTGCATGTCCTGCCTCAACTTGGCAGGCTCGAGTGCTTCATAAGCAGAGCCAGCTGGGTCAGACCATATGATCCAGCATTCTGTTCATATGGTAGCCAACCAGCTGCCCATGGGAAACCTGTAATCGGGACCTGGGTGCAATTGCAGCCTCCTGCCCAGAATTCCCAGCAGTTGGAAAACCAAAACATACTGCCTCTGATGCTGGAGGTAGCATCGAGCCATCAGGACTAGTACCCACTGGTGGCCTTCTCCTCCCAGAATTTGTCTAATCCCCCTTTAAAGCTGTCCAAGTCAGTGGCCATCACTGCATCTTGTTGTAGCAAATACCCAATGCTGAAGTAATTCCCAAATTGCCCTTCAAGTTCACAGGTGAGAGTGGAGCACACCACAGCTGCGATCTGGAAAGTTCCCAAGTGCACATCCTGTGGATTCAATGACATGTAGGGAATTGTGGCTAATCACATGGATCTTGTATATTCATTCCAGGGATCACTGGCTTGAGTTCCCGGTGTGCTCAGAGCAGCCACGGCTGAGACCATTGCCTGGCTGTTTATACCACACCGCAGATTAAATCACTTGGCATCCTGAACCCATACAGAGGCCTTGCAATCTATGTCTCTCTGTATTGGAGGGGAGCACCAGACAGCTTTTGCCCAGAGCAGAGCTCAGCAATTGCTTGTTTTCCAAATGTTTTGGACTACAGTTCTCAGCAGCCCTTGCCAACATGGCCAGGCTCAGGGATTGTCCAAAATATCTGGAGGGCACCAGGCCACTGAATCTGTGAGAGGCTACTAAATGTATGTGTACGACTATCCTGGCTGGTAGCTTTCCTCACTGTATATATGTGGCTGTTCTAGTGTCAAATTTTGGTTTCTCAAGAGTAGACCCTGTGTTTTGAACCACAGAAATCCAGATCCAATGATTACAAGATCATTTATTCTCCATGTTCTGCCTGCCTCACTCTCTGTGCCCTGCATAGGGTGGGCAGCACTGTCACTGCACTCAGCAGCCTGTCTCCACAGGGCTCTGCCGCTTACGCTTTCTCAGGATATCTTCCAGCAGAACCTCGGAAAGACAGGCAGTCCCTTCGGCCTGCAAAGGGGTACCCAGCCAGGTGCAGCTGCCAGGAGGAGTGACCAGATTCCCAAGGAGCTGGGCAGGAAAGGCAGCCGGAAGGATGTTGCCGCCCTCAAAGCTGTGGAACTGGAGCTGCTGCACAAATACAAGAAGCAGGCCCTCAAGGGCGTAGAGAGCCCTGTCCAGGAGGAGGTGAGCTGCCCCATGGCACTGGAGCTGAAATTCCAGGGGTGGATTTTGAGCTGTGGTGCCTGTGTGGAGGATGGCTGCGCCTCGCCTCTCAGAGCTTTGAACTTGTTGCCTCTTTTGGGGGGTGGACGTGGCTGGGTGCTGCTTCTCCTGGCCTCCTGCAACCACCCAATTGCTTTCCTTCCCAGCTCGAATTGCCAAGTTCCAGCCAGGAAGATACGGACGGAGAGCCTGACCTGACTGAGGAAGAGCTGTCTTTAGTAGTGGCAACCAACGGCCGGGGTCCCAGGTTCATATTGGTTATGGGGAGCTGAACCACGCAACTTAGCGATGCAAGCATGATGCATTCCCAGTTGTCTTGGGGCTATTGAACTACCCCAGGGTGGGCAAGTGGGCCCCAAATCCAGCCCTTCAGCATGGCCTCAGGCCCCCATGAACTGCTCTCCTGGGCATGCCCAGCTGTGTCTCCCAGGCAGGGATGCAGGCAAGGGTTTTTACATGCCATTTTCCCTATAGAAGTTTCCCACTTGATGCACTTCAAACTGCTCTCCCTTTGCTCTAAGCCAGAGGCAATGGGAGAGAGCAGACAGATGTCAAAGGAAACACACCTGACCGATTGTGTTGCTTTTCCCTAGCAGGAAGATCAAGGCCTCTGAAGGCATCCGGAGCCGTAAAGATGCACATGCACGAGCTCCACCCAGCCCCTCTGACACCGAGGCCCTTGATGTTGACTCCGAGGAAGACCTACAGATCGATGAGACACCTCGCAGGGAAAGGAGGAGCCTGGTGTTGCGCAAGCGACTGTCCAGTATGTGGCTTCCTCCATCCTTGGGGCTAGATGCTGCCAGGCAGTGGCTGTCCCCAACTGGTCTGGGCAAGGGCAAGGGCAAGGGCATGCCATGCCATGGATCCACCCTGCTCTCCTGTGTCTGTTCCTCCTTCCCCCTTCCTCTTTCTCTTCTCCTTGGGCTTGGAATGAAAAGGAGGTGAGTTTCTTCCCTTTAAAACTTTTTTTTGCCAAAGCCCTTGCCTGGCCACCACAAGCAGGTCTGTGTATGGAAAGAAAAGAAGACTACAACTACTCAGCCTTTTTTATTTGAATCTTTTTAATATACATGCATGAATTTCTGTATATTCATAGCAATGAGTACATAGGAAACACACACACACACACACAATTTTCTAGGAATTCTACAGAGGTTTCAACAAAAGTGGACCAAATATCCAAATCAGTGTCCATTTGGAGCTGACACCCTTTCAAATATTGAGTTGTAAGGTCTTCAACCCAATTATAGGAGGTGAGCATATTCATCTTTTAACTTTAAAATGGACACAGAGAATCTGTTACTGTACCAAACTTTGCAACCTCTGTACATTATACTAACTAAACTTCTATTGCTTCGGTTTTATAAACTGTTCTGTCTTTACCCAAGGACAGTCGGTGGAGGAACAGGACAATACTAGATTGCACAGAGAGCACAGAAATCCCATCTTTGGCCACTGTACATCTTATCCAGAAACTCCCCTGACTTCTGAGGTTTAGCCAGCATTGTTTATGCACTTTCAAGCAAAACTGTGTTAGCATAAGGTCTAGAAATATGCTACTTGCTGCTAAAGATGGCAATGAAATTTTGTTTTTTAATATCACCACCAAGAATTAGAAAGTTGCTGTTGAAAAGTTAAAACTGCAACTGGAATGTTCAATAAGCCGTACAATAGGAGTTCCCAACATGGGGAGATTGGGAAATTTGAGAAGCTGCTGTGAACACTACTACAAAATACCTAACTAGTAGATCCCCACTTTGGCCTATCTCTGTTGTGTCTGTGGATCTTGGGCTGTATCTTGTTCAGTAAAAATGTTTGCTTTGTCTTTCTTTGATAGTGCAACATCTCTTTAACAAGGCATTGTCTAATTCAGCCAATTGCTGGTGGGGCACTGCACCAGTTAAACATTTGTTCTGGTGAGGTCCAGTTGCTGATTCTTCTTAGAAGGAGGTCATTATACAGAAAACGTTTATACTGGAACAGTCTTTAGCATTCATTGATGTTCACACACTTTTAAATTGTTTACCTGCTCCATGGAAATTAGTGAAGGAAAGGGGAAATGGATTCTCTGCACCCCATTGATGACTAAAAATCTGATCTCACAAAATTGGAGGGATAAACACTCATCTTCTATAATGCAATGGACTGAGTACCTGAGTTTTTGATATATGAGTGGGTGGCATAGAAGGCTGCATGGATTTCATGTATGTATACTTAAAAAACACAGGAAAAAGTAATTAATTTTAAAATGTGGGTGTCTGAGGATACCACATTGAGAGTTCCTTCACAGGTGCCATTGAAGGAGCCTGCAGGTACCATGTGGGGAGGTCCTGCTGTGCAACGTTTTTGTCAATAGTTTTGTAGGATTCCAGTCCACTCACAACCCAAAATACCTATTTTCTGTGTTTTCTACTGTTGATGAAACTTTCATGCCTCCTTCTTTAGCAGTCCTTTATCAAACTTTGTCCTCCTCTGTCAACTCTGTCATACTCCTTTCCTTGAGAGGGGCTGTTTATTATTCACCCTGCTTCCCAGGTCCCACTTTGAAAATGATTATTAGCAAGCCCAGATGGCAGAAGTGGCTTATAGCCACCCTTGTTTCTTCCCAGAGCTGCTTTTTCATCCCGATGAGGCAGATCTCAAGCTAACTGCCTGATCCAATGCATGTTTATTCAGCAATGCATCCCACTGGGATCAGCAGGGATTATCCCCATGTGCTATGTACAGCTGCAGTAGCCTAAGTTTCTATGTTGCACTGTAGCATAAGTCCCTTCCTGTGGAGCTGATACGCTTCTACAGTGACCCTGCGGCCTGATTCATACATAACCATTTCTGCTTAGTATCCACTTGCCAGAATAACCCAGGAATTCCGTGGTGTCTTTGTTTTGATGTCTGAACAGGGTGCTCTGGGTTGTTTTGGAAATTGGATGTGAAGCATAAGTGGTGGGTGACTTAACAGGAAGTACTTTGCAAGCTTCAGTATAGGCCCAACAACTCATTAGTTGCTTAACCCATGAATCAGCATTACATGCAGACCAGGTAACAATCTCTGTTGCTTGCTGGCTATTTCTCTTTGTCTAGCAACAAATTTACCATGGGTTTTTTTTCTGGTTTCAGAATTTCCCCGGAAATTGCCTCGAGCCAAGCCATGCTCTGATCCAAACCGAGTACGAGAGCCAGGAGAAGTGGAATTTGACATTGAGGTAGGTCAGGCACAGAGCTTAAGGGGTGCTTTGCTGCCAGAAGCTTAATAAGGCTCATCTCAAGAAGAAGCAGAGCTTAAATTGGGTTACAGCCCATTGGGGCTGAACCTCAGCAGCTGTTTTAAAGGTTGAGGAGCATGTGAAATTTATACTGACAGAGATGGCCTCTGAGCATGTATTGAGTGTCTTCACTGAATAACTCCTGCCCGCCAATCACATTTGAGGTCAAAGATCAATTTTAAGGACATAATAACTCCTTTGTTGGACCTGACCAAAGATAGGACCTGACCACCCTTCTCCAAAGCTGTACCTTCCAGATGATGATGATGGACTACAACTCCCATCATCTCTGACCATGGGCTATGCAGGCTTGGGCTGTTGGGAATTATAAACCAGAACATTTGGATGGTAGCAGTTTCAGGAAGATTTTGAGGGAATAGCCAGTGAGCTCAAGCCAGGTATGCTATTGCAGGCTTTCTCTGGAGGGCAGGGATAGGGTTAGGAGGGAATCCACAGCAACTTTTGAAAGCCCACATTTAGATATCTTCAATTTTATTTGTTGTATTTTAAATTTGCTTTTGTTCTTGTAGTAAGCTGTTCCAAGATTTGGTTACAAGGGTAGTAGCATATGAGATACCTAAAATAAACGAAATGAAACTAATTTAAGATTAAATTACAAAGGGACACCCCCCCCCAACCGGTGCACTTTAAGAACATTTTGTTTTTCTAGAAAGAAGCACCCCCACCCCTGTGGAATAACCATATGTGGTCTGGAACATGGCACCTCCTGTCCCTGAAAGGCATCTTGGGGACAGCAACACTGACCTGGTGGAGACGGTTTAATCCTTGATCAGGAGTGTTGACTTTCTCTCTGCCTGAGAGTCAGATGCAATTTAGAGAAGCTCACGGCTGCCACGGTTGAGGGGTGGGAGGAGCCAAGCACAGCCTCAAAATGCCTGCATGTTTTAACTTAGGACTGTTCCTGCCAGCAGCTAAGCCTGAGGAGACACACATCTCATTTTAAAATAGGAGAAAAAAGGCGCACAAGCCAGGGCAGCACCCAGTGAGTGGTACGGGCAAGGGAGAGGGGCCAAGAGAAAGAGATGTGGTGTCCTGAATTTGGACCCCTGACCCTGAGACTGGACTTAAGGTGCCACTGGATAGCAGATCTTTCTGCTCCTGTGACAAGGACAGGCAGCTGCTGACCTCAGGCAGCTTCCTCTCTCTCTCTCAAAACAGGGCCAAACCCCAAGAGGAAGCACCCACATAAGTAACCACCACCCCTGCTTCTTTTGTGCAGCACAGGCAGAACAGGTGTTTGGCTTCCTGAGTGCTCGTGTGAACTATAGCTTTCCATTTCTGCACCCCAGCTGCTCCCTTCTGGGACTCTTGATGGGTGGGGAGAGGTCTTTGCCTTGGTTACAGTTCATGGGTACAGTTCAAAACGCACTTTGCAGACAACTCAGCTTCTGCCAGGATGGGGCCAGTGGGTGGAGCCAGAGTTGCAAAAGCCCTTCCTCCCGTGTTCCTTTCCATTGGGCACTGCGTACAGAGGTGGCGGGATACCAGTTGGATAGCTGTGCCCCTCTTAAATGCAGATTTCCAGCCAGGCCTCTCTGAACTCCTTTCCTTCTCAGGAGGACTATACCACAGAGGAGGAGGAGACGGCATCCGGTGATGACCAGTTGGAGGGCAGCAGTAGCGCCGGCGGGATTCTGGACCTGCTCAAGGCCAGTCGGCAGGTGGGCGGTGCAGACTATGATGAGCTCAGGTAAGAACCAACCACCTTTAGGCCCTCAGTGGTAACTCCTCGACTCTGGGGAGGAGTGGGATCCACCTTGATGGCTTCTTATCATGCAATAAGCCAATGTATAAATGCTAATAATTAATAAATGTTAAATTTAATTTATAATAATAAAAATATTATACTAAAGAAGCCTTTGTTGCTGCTTCGTGACACATGCCGCTCTATATAGGGGCAGTGTGATCTCAGACCAGGCTGTAGAACCTTCCAGAGCTCTTAAGGAGTGGGCACTGCCCACTCCTCATCTGCACAGAATGAAGTCTTGGGTGAAGAACCCGAGAAGAGCTCTGCATTTCATTTTAAAAGAACAACAAATTTCTACCCCTTATGAATGCAACAGTGTGCATGAGAATCTATGGGTGATGCCTCCTGGAATCTCACAAGAATTGTGAAGGGGCGCTAATCCAGATTTTCAGCAGTTGTGAGGAAAAGGGCTTCAAACTCCTTGCTCCAGAATAAATTGTGCAAACACCTCTAAAATGAAGGAGAAATTACGCATATTTGCCTGATGTCTGTAAGTTGTCAGTTTCAGCTTTTGTTGGTGCACGGCTTTCTTGCCTTCTTTTAAGTGAAGAGTATACCTGTGCCTTGCCCCAAGAGGTGACGTGTGCCACAAGGTTAATGGACTTGGTAGGCGAAGCAGTGTTGGATGTTCTGGCTGAAGGCTAGTGCATTAAGTGTCCATCTTGTGTTCTCCCCCAGCGATGCACCTGCCTCCCCCAGCACTCAGGAAGCCATCCAGGGCATGCTGTGCATGGCTAACCTCCAGTCCTCATCGTCCTCACCGGGGGCTTCCAGCTTGCAGGCCTGGTTGGCAGCGGGGCATGAGCGTGGCTCTGCAGGAGCCTCTGGCTCCCAGCGTTCAGGGAAGAGACCCATCAAGCGGCCAGCCCATCACAGCACCGACAGTGAGGAAGAGGCCAGTCTGGATGAGCAAGAGAGCCTGGGAGCCTGCTTCAAGGATGCGGAGTACAGTAAGGGATGGAGAGCAGTTGCCCAGCAGGAGAATGTCTGAGGAAAATAGGTCTCTCCCCACCTTTCTTGGGGAGAAGATTTGAAGCAGGGTTACTGAACCTCTTCTGGCCAGGGGCCAGGCACAGTTTTGGTCAAAGTCTCAGGAGCCACATTCCAGTGATAGGCAGGTTGAAAGAGCCGGCTTATTTTAACTTTACACTCTTGCTGTTTTAACAGAGCCTTAAGAAAAGGTATTTAAAATTCTTCTAGAAAAGTGGGAAAACTCTGCCATCAGCAGGAAGCTATCAAACAGCAGGTGATTGACAGAAAGGGGGCAGGGCCAGAGGAAGCAAGAGTGGTCATCTGGGAACCCAGGTGGGCCAAAGTTTGATGCATGGGCCTCAGGTTGGACACTTTCACTCTAAATGAAGCTCCGAGTCTAAACACCTGTAATGCTAAAGTGCATGTGTGGCTCCTGCTTATATCCTACATGTGCTGCAATCCTGTATCTACTCATGTAGGAATAAGCGACCTTTTACTTGAAACGTATATCAGAGTAGACATGTATGGTAGTGTGCTTCTAATCTCTGAAGAGTGCTGAGCAGATTTCCTGGTGGCCTCCCTTTTGACAGCTCTCAGGGCCGCTTCTCATTTGCTGCTGAACTGCTGAAGTGTCACATGCCCTGGGACAGTCAACTTTCCTTCAGTTCAGTTCTCTGACCTGCCACTTGCAAGGGGCCCACAAGCAAGGGGCCATATGCTGGATTCTTTGGCTGTCACTTCCCCTCTCCCATGTGGCTTGGCCCATTTGCTTCAGTTAGCTGGAACTCCCTGCTCTTTTGTAGCTTGGCATGCAGGGGTTGATTAGCTGGGGGGTGGGGGGGGAGTCTGATGAATGGTCCCACCCTGCATTGCAGGAGCACTGGAATGGCGGGACCTTCCCTATTCTTGGTCAATCCCTGACAGTTGCCCGTGAAGACACAGGTGGCGCTGTGCCGCAGTATGACATTTGCGCCCTGGCAATGCCAACATTTATTTTAAAATTATTAGTGGTATTGCTGAGGAAGAGGAGGAGGGTACTTGTCAAACTAAGAAAGGGGGCTGGAGACTCCTGATCAGAATTTTGGAACTGAAGAGGATAAACAGAATTCAATCCTAGCACTGTCCCTCCCTCTACAGTTTACCCATCCTTGGAATCGGACGAGGATGACCCAGCCTTGAAATCACTACCAAAGAAGAAGAAATGCACAGATGATGCTCCCTGGAGTCCCAAGGGTAATTACTCTCACCTGCGTTTGGGATAAGGCTCATTTCATGTGATTCTGCACGGAGGCAGGAAAGGGGCAGAATTCAGTGTCCTGAGAACCTCAGCTCAATTTTTTAAACAGCTTTCTAGCCTTTATTGGTTGCATGTGGGCAAAACGCCTGCCGGGATCACATATACCAGGAGAGTTGCTGAATAAGCCATCCTGTGGCTGGAGATTGGCTCTTGCCCTTCCCTGTAACCAGCAATAGTGGAACGCCTTGTGCAGAACACAAGGGGTCATCCACAGGTGAATCCACCTTTTCCTTGTGCAGGGGATGAGAATGCTAGATGGGGGATTGCACCAAGCAGCCTGCAGCCTGCTCAGCAGCATCCCAGAGCACAGTTGTTGCTGGCAGGCATCCCTCCTGCCCTCTGTGGGGCTCTGTGTCTCATCTGAGTCATCCAAAAGTAAATTGGTTTGGGTGCTCAGAGACTGAGGGAAATGCAGTCAGAAAGAAAGGAAGTCTGAATTTTCTTTGTCTTTAAGTGTTTGGCTTTCAGAATGAGCCAGCAGCATAGCAACTTGTTCTTGCCACATCTCTGAGGCCCACAGCTTCCCTGTCTACACCTTGGTCCCAAAAGGGTACCCTCTAGGTGCAGCACATGCTGCTTCCATGCCCTTCCCTGTTCCTCAGCCATGCTCCCACATGCACGGGGGCTGCACATCTACAGAAAGGGCTCCCTGGCATGCTCTCTGTGGGAACTTGGCTGGGCACCCTTTTGGTCCGCCTGGTGATTTTTTTTTCATCCTTTCAAGCCACTCTAGAGGATACTCCTCTGTGTAATGAATGGACGCCATAGGGGTTACTCTTCCCTTTGAAGCCCTCCAAGATCTGTGTGCCACTGGGAGCAGGCAGGAAGTCCCTAATTTGAACACATTTCTCGCCTTCTCACAGCCCGGGTGACCCCAACACTGCCCAAGCAAGACAGGCCGGTGCGTGAAGGAACCAGAGTGGCATCTGTCGAAACGGGCCTTGCAGCCGCAGCAGCCAAACTAGCTCAGCAGGTAAATGACAGGGCTTGCCTGCCATTTGGGGACAGTGAAGCCACATCCAGGCCCTTGTCTTTGAGAGGTGTTGCCTGCCGAAGTAGGGGTGCCTCAGGATGCTTCAGAGGGGAGAGGACTGCAGATCAGGAGCAGGTCTTGGCCCATCATTGTGGCTGAAAGCATTAATTCTTTCCCAGAAGGCCTCAAATGACACTGACAATGCTTGACACTTGCTGAACTTGTGCAAGCACTGTAGTTTTGGGGGTTTATTTTGTGCTGATTTTAGTAGTGCCATCAAGGCTCATGGCCCAGAAAATGCCTGCATTCAGAATTTTAAAAAAGGATAAAAGCACATAGAAATCAGTTCAGCAAACATCCACCTACAGCTCACTAACTACTTTAGTGACCCAAAGTGTGGCTGGGTCATGATGGACCCCCTAGGAGTTCCTACGTTTTTATTTAAATAAAAAATTTCAACCTAAAAAAAAAAAAAATTCAACCTATTCCAGGGGCAAGAAAGTTGTGGCCTGCCAGTGTTTGGGCCTGCAGCCTTTGTGATCCCTCACCTTTGGCTGTGCCAAGAGGGTTGATAGTGCTTGCAGGCCTAAATGTCTGGAGACAAACGCCCTTGCCCTGTCCAACACCAGTCGGGATCACGTCCCAGCTCGAGGTCAGGGTCTTATTGCTCTCTATCTTAAGGAACACCAGAAGTTGCAGCGGCGGAAGCTTGTGGTAAAAAGGAAACCACCGTCTCCGAAGGTGCCCAGCCCAGAACCGGAACTGGAGCCAGAACCAGAGCTCGAACCAGAACCAGTGGAAACAGAAGTGGAATCAGACTTGCCACTGCAACCACAGCAGGATCCCGATCCTGGGGTGCTGGTGGCTCCTGTGCCCACCCCCCCAACACCTGAACCCAAACAGGAGCAATTTGCCGGCAGCCTGGTAGATCATGAGTACACCGCCCGGCCCAGTGTCTTTGGAATGGCCCAGGTGAACCGCGGCTCCA